TGACCTCTGACATGCATTCTGGAAAATGTTTTTAGACACACATCTTGCCATTTGTGTCTCCCGTAAAAGCAGTGTACAGAGAGGCAGGCGAGTGTGCGGGAGTAACAGACGGGAGCGAGGCAGAGCCACCAGGGTGCAGTTCTTCGGGCCTCACATGCCACGCGACCAAATGCCAGTCATTTCACCAGTGTGCCGGGCTCGGCATGGCTGGCCAAGTGTGACCTGCAGCTGTCGTGAGTCTCAGCGGTCCAGATGCAGGTTGTCCTGTGGAATTTTCCACCCTGGGTTAATGCCTTCTTTATAATGAGCAGGAATAAACTCACACAGGCCGGTGAGCCCAGCCAGGTTATGGGCCAAGGGCAGAATGCTGAGCTGGGGGAGGCATTAAAGCAATGTCACAGCAAACACGTGGCCCTTTGCTTTTGTCCTCCAAGATACTCTGTCCACGAGGCCTCCCCAGGTGTGCTCACCTGGCGGCAGGGAGATGTGCCTGGTGGCCCTTGAGTTTCTGATCAGCTCCAGCTGAATGCCTGGTGCCCGAGTGTCACTTGGATGCCTGCAGAGTCCTCTGAGCAGAGGCTTTTTCCTGCAGGGTCCATGGAAGAAGGGACATTCTCACTCAGACAGAAGGAGGGCGTCCCAGGGAGGAGCAGGCAGGGAAAGTGGGGCTCAGCACACCCCCGATCCCCCACGGCTTCATGCTGTGTGTGCCGGCACGACAAGAAACACGGCTTCTCCTTCAGGGAGCCGGGGCTCTGGCGGCGATACTGGCCCTCGGTAAGAGTGAACGTGGAGATGCACAGACACATTCAAACAAGGAGGCAACAAGGCCTTGCTAACAATGAACAGCGGGGCCGGGGTGGGGACAGGATGGCCTCGCTGGAAGAGGTGACATTGCAGATGAAACCGGAAGGGCAAGAAGGCTCTGCTACCCAGGAGGAGTGGGAGGCTCTGAGCTAGTCACAGAGGTCATGACAAGCATCAGATTTCTTCCTCAGACAATGAGAAACTGGTGACAGATTTTACGCAGAATGATGTGATATGTGATCTGATTACACGTCTATGCGACGTCTTGACAGCCTTGGGGACTGTGAGGAGGGCCTCCGGAACTAGGGAAGCCACAGCGAGAGGAAGTGGTAACGGCCAGTGTGCTGGCTGCAGAAGACCTGGGAGGTGCGTGTGTGAGGCTGAGACCGCGGGGGCCCGGGGTGATCTCGGGAATGCGTCTGAGGACGTGGGTGGCGGTGGAGCCACAGCGATAAGCTAAGGCAGGGATGTGACCTGCGGAGCATTATGACTGTGGGAAGTCATGATGCCCATCAGGGGAGGCCTCGCCACAGGAGCAAAAGTCTGGGAGGAAACTACCTCCAAGGAGACCCTCAGGTGTGTCCTGGGCCGGCGACACCGCCTCTCCTAGGAAGGCAGAAAGGAGCCCCAACCCAACAGCCGCTCACTGCCTACCAACCCAAGTCTGGCAGAAACCCTCCCTCCTCTGCCTCACCCTCTACCTGAATTTGCCACAGGCAAGACTGCGGCGCCCTCCTGCCCTGTGCCCCAGCCTGAACCAACCTGCTCCCCTGGCCTCCTAGGCAGAGCTCCTCTCCCCTCCGTCCCAGGATCTTTCCCAGATACAAACCTGTGTTCATCAATTTCTTGTTACCTTACTTATGAACGCTGCATTGCATCTGGTTGTGTGGTCTACAAGTTTTTTTTAAGAGGGAAACAATAACAAAATAACAACAACAAAGACAAAAACAACATAAAAACAATAAAAATGGTACAGAATTTCAAAACAAGATGATAGGAAATTAACAATGGTTGTTATATTAATTTTTTTTTTACATATTGTTATCTTTAATGAAGTTGCTTAGGTTACCAGATGTAACAATGCAAGATTGATCAAATAATTGAAGAGAATAAAAAATAATAATAATAAATTAGAAATGATACAGAGCTTTGTAGCTGGGATAATTGTATTGCTGATGTCTATTGGTTTATTGAAAAGAACAGTTAATGCTTAAATTTTTTTGACCAATTTTGCATGCTTATATCTGGTAATCTGAACAACTAATTTGATGACAACAATATATAATATATGGCACATGCCTATAATCCCAGCACTTGGGAGGCTGAGGCAGGAGGATCGTTGTGGAGTTCAAAACCAGTCTGGGCTACAAAGTGAGCTCAAGGGCAGCCTCAACTTCACAGCGAGACCCTGTCTCAAAAAGACAAACAACAACAACAACAACAAAGAAAAACCCAATATGCAATATAACAACCATTGTTGAATTCCTACCATCTTGTTTAGTGAAGGTCTACAGGTTTTGATTTATAGAATTTTTTAAAAATCATGGAAAATTTCAACATACTTGAAATAGGCCACCAACATAAAGAACCTTCATGCACCGATCACCCAGCCTTGAGGCAGCATTTTTGTGTATTTTGGTTGTTTTGTTTCGTGGTACTGGAGATTGAATCCAGGGTCTTCACATTGAGCTACATCCTCGTCTGTTTTTTTTATTTTTTGAGACAGGATCTTGCTAAGTCACTAACTTGCCCAGGCTGGACTCAAACTTGAGATTCTCCTGCTCCAGCCTCCTAGAGTGCTAGAATTCTAGGAGAGCACTACTGGAGTACACACGCTGGGGTGAAGCAAATCCCAGGCACCACATCACCTCATCCTGACATACCTCAGTCCTTGACTGTGAAAACGTAATTGGAACACTATTGCCAAACCTGGACACACTTATTTCCTGGGTGAGTCTCTTTCCCTGATTGCCTCCGATATGGTTTGTTAAACAAATTGTCTGTTTACAGGATTAAAAGATTTATTTTGGCAAGGTGTGGTGGTGCACACCTATAATCCCAGCACTCTGGAGGCTGAGGCAGGAGGATCACCCTGAGTTTGAGGCCAGCCTGGACTACACAGCAAGACCCTGTCTCAAAACAAAACAAAACCCAAACAAATAAAAGATTTGTTTTACAAGGTCCAAATTAGGTCCAACAGTTTCTTTTTATTCGAAGCTCCCCCCACCCTTGTGCACCTCTTCTTCCTTAAAATCTACTGATGAAGTTGTGCTTGGGCAGTGCTGTTTCATGCAGCCTGGAGAGTGCTGTGCTTCCCTGTTCTGCTGACCATGAGCCTCTCTGCCGCTATGTGCTGCAGGTTTGAATTCAGGTCCAGAGGTCTGATCAGATTCAAGATTGTGTGGGCAGGAATCCTTCCTCAGTGCTGCTGTATTCTTTGACCAGGAGGCACAGAGCCTGGGTCAGGGGACTGTAAAACGTGTTTTAAAGTTCTCCACTCCTTCCTAGGTCGTTTCAAAGTCTTGCTCCTTGCTGGTCTCTTAGCCACGGGAAACCTTCTCCTAACTGGGATTTCGCAGGTTTTTGTTTTGTTTTGTTTTGTTTCTCTCAGTTACTTTTGTCTGAGAGGAAAGGCAGGATAAGCTCCTGACTGTTGGACTTTATTTGCCAGTCTGAAGAATGAGTTGGTTCCCTCGTAGCATCCACTAGAGGTGTCTGGTAACATTTTCACATCCCTTAAACTCACAGATTTAAACACAAGAGACGCACTTGATCCATTACAGTTATTCTTCTCAGTATCCATTTGTAGACTTGAGAATTTCTTTGTGAGATGTTCAGGCAATTGTAAATGAAGTCCAGGGAAGAAGGACTATTGAGAAAAGTACTAGATACTAGTAACTCAGGTATATCCATGCTTGTTAGAGCAGGGTTTCCCAGACTTGGTGCAGAGTACTCCTAGATAAGATTCATTCCCCACATTGGCCCCAAACTTCCAGGCCCAAGCAACTCTTCTGCCTCAGCCTCTGAAGTAGCTGGGCTACAGGAACATACCATTGCACCTGGAAGGGTCTCTAGGCCGTAAGTCCCTACCACTTCCATTTACTAAACAGATCCAAACAGTAAATATTTATGCCCTGCAACTTATGGTAGACATTTGAAAAAGTAATGCACATAAAACTTAAAGAAAAACAATTTTTGGTGGTATGGGAATGGAACCCGAGGTGTCCAAATAATGACACTTCAAAAGTCACCCATGGACTCTGAATGTTCATTTACATGGCAAAGGAGGTGCCTGCAGGTGCGATTAAGGGCCCTGAGATGTGGCCATGGTCCTGGCTTCTCTGGGAAGACTTAATGCAGTCACATTTGTCTTCGTAGAGGGAGATTTGACACAAAGGAGGCAGAGACCATGCCTCCTGATGACCATGGAGGCAGAGATTGGAGTGCCATAGCCACAAGCCCAACAGCGCCAGAAGCCGCTAGCGGCTGGCAGGGACAGGGCTGGGTCCTCAGAGCTGAGGAAGCCTGCCCTGCGGATGCCTGGGTTTCAGGCTTCTGGCCTCCGGAACCGTGCGATCAGTTTCGACTATTGTGGCCACCAAATGTGTGGCAGTTTTTACAGCAGCATCAGAGAATAAACACACTTGGGAAGGTCAGGGATTCTGAGAAGAAATGACTGGGCCAAGCGCTGGGCCTGCAGTTCCCACCTTTCCCTAGCGGCCCGTGTGCAAGGCCCAAATCCCGATTCCAGGCCCCAGTTTCTTGCCAAGTTGCCTGGGCCTCATGGCCAGAATCGGGAAAGTGGTGCTGGGTGGTGGGAGAGTCCCGGCCGCGTGGTCTGGCTGCTGTGAGCCTCCATTTGCAACACGCGGCCCAGATTAGAGACAGGCAGACTGGCGGGTACGGACCAGCCCTGCGTTCCGCCACACACTCACTGCCAGTGCCCAGTGGGAAGAACGCAGGATGGGCAAAGGACACTATCAGACATTTTATAACCTAGTGCAAACACGATTATCAGGTACTATTTTTACAGCAGCAAGGAGCCTGTCTGGTGTAGTCGGCGCGTGCCAGCAGCCCATCCAGCATCCTGGTATGAAGGCCACATAGGCAGTGCCATGGCTTGGTGCACTCAGGCCAATCGGGCACACGTGTCCTGGGGGCAGTCTGAGCTGCCTGAACCTATAAAAGGCCCAGCAGGACCTGGAGCGCCTGTGCCGAGACCAGAGCCTCAGCAGCTCCACAAAGCCTGGCTGCTGTTTTTCTTCAAACTGACTTGTGTAAATAGTTTTTTTCCTTAGGACAGCAAAAGAATATTGCAGATTCTTGGCTGAATTTCTGTTGCTTCTGCAGGTATCGCCTTGGGTGAGTGCCAGGCTTGGTCACCCCTGAGGAGTTCCTTAAAAGTGACTGGCCAGTCTGGGGGCAGGGGGCACAGCTCAGGGGTGGATCCCACCAACACAGCAGGGCAAGCGCTGGCCCTTGTGGGCTCTGGTGCCACAGCTGCCTCAGGCTGGCACTGTTTCCAAGGCTGGCTTCCAGGTAGAGGAGTGGGGAAGCCGCGTTCTCCCTGTGACACCTGGTATTTGTCTCTCTGAATGGTGTGATGAAAGAATTGAGGATCTGCTAAGCTATGTTCTAGCCCGGCTGTAAGGACAGGATAGCCTAACCTTGGGCTGTAGCAGCCCCTACCAAGCTGGGTAAGGGTGGCTGGGCCGTGTCTCACTGCTTCTGTATCTCTAGAACCCACTCTTCCAGGATGACAGGCACAAGGATGGCGGCAGTGCTGCTTGCCCTGGCTGGCTTGCTGCAGGTGGCTGTGACCCTGAAAATCGCAGCCTTCAACATCAGGTCTTTTGGGGAGACCAAGATGTCCAATGCTACCCTCTCCAGCTACATTGTGCAGGTAACTCTGAGGGGGGCTGTCCCTGTGGAGAGACCTCAGCGGCGGGTGGTAACAGGCCCTAGGTATGCAGGGCAGCCCTGTGGAGCCACAGGCCGTGTCATTCATCTGTAGGTGGACATTAGGCGGGGGTTGTGGCCGCTGGCCTGGGGTCTTGGTCACTACCATGTTGTCAGTGGCTGCAAACCACAGAAGGCAAAGTATAGGGCTGTGGGCTGAGCTGTGCCGGGAAAACACCCCAAGGAGCAGTAGCTCTGGCCCTGGCTGTGGCCCTCCAGGGAACAGGGACTGCAGCCTCCACCCAGCCTGGCTCTGCTCAGGCTGCTGTGGCCCTGCCTCCCAGATCCTGAGCCGCTACGACATCGCCCTCATCCAGGAGGTCAGAGACACCTACCTGACAGCTGTAGGGAAGTTGCTGGATGAACTCAATCGGTGGGTGACCGTCGGGGGAGTGCTGGGGGAGGTGACCACCATATCCCTTCATTTGGGCCCCAGGGACAGTGGACAGGGCCCTGCAGTCGGCAGCCAGAGAGGGTCCCTTCCGGCGCTGACAAGACCGTTGGTTTCCTCCATGCAGGGATGCACCAGACACCTACCGCTTTGTGGTCAGTGAGCCGCTGGGACGCAACAGCTATAAGGAGCAGTACCTTTTCGTGTACAGGTGAAGCCCTGAGCCCATGTGGGCTCTCACCGCAAGGATCAGGCTGTGGGGAGGGCTAGAGATGATAATGAGGCCCTCCCTTGCCGGGGAGGACCCCAGCAGGCTGAAGAGAGTGAGACTGCAAGGCCACGGGGCATGGCGCAGGCTGGAGTTGGACCCCTGCTTGTCACCACCCAAGTGGGATGCTCGCTCCCCTGCTGCCTTCCCTGCGCGGGCAAGTGTGTGGAACGGCCGGTGCAGACCTGGCTCCTCCCGCCCTGCAGGGCAACAGCTCTCTGTGAGCGGCCCGAAGGAGCTGGGCCAGCGTGCAGGCAGGAGGGGTGGCTCCCAGCTGCAAGGTCACCTCTGCCTGCCTGGCTTTCTCACAGGCCTGATCAGGTGTCCGTGCTGGACAGCTACCAATACAACGATGGCTGTGAGCCCTGTGGGAACGACACCTTCAGCCGCGAGCCTGCCATTGTCAGGTTCTCCTCCCCACTCACGCGTGAGTGTCTCAGCAACTTCCCTGGGGTGCCCACAGAGCCTGGGGGTGCAGTGGTGCTGCCTTATGCACTCCTCTGGGAAGCTTGCTGTTCCAGGGCTCCGGTTTTCCACTCAAGTTCCCAGGACAGTGTTCACCCCGGGAACTGTTGTGCACCCTTTCTGTGACTGCGGCCTCCAGTGCACCGGGGTGCTGAGTGTGCCTACTCTGTCCTCAGAGGTTAGAGATTTTGCCATTGTGCCCCTGCATGCGGCTCCTACAGAAGCAGTGGCTGAGATCGATGCTCTCTATGACGTCTATCTACATGTCCAGCAGAAGTGGGGCCTGGAGGTGAGGCTATCTTGAGGCCCCTGGGCTTTAGTGGCCCCATTTGTCCCTGGGCCAACAGCAGGTGTTTCCTGGCAGGACGTGATGCTGATGGGTGACTTCAATGCCGACTGCAGCTACGTGACTCCCTCGCAATGGCCCTCCGTCCGCCTTCGTACAAGCTCCACCTTCCAGTGGCTGATTCCTGACACTGCGGACACCACGGCGACATCCACACACTGTGCCTATGACAGGTGAACAGGGACCTGGAGGGCACGATGGACACCTGCCGAGCTCCGGAACTGACTGCTCAGCCTTTGCACACTCACACCCTGAGCTTCATCCAGCCACTAGGAGAGCAGACCTCTTAGGTTTTGGGAAAAGCGTGTTTAGGGACAAAGGGCAAGGCAGAAGCTCAGGTTCTCTCGGGGTCATCTTTCTCTTGTGAATGGCCTGGGGGGGCAGGCAGTGGGCAGTCTGGGCTGGCTCAAGCGAGGTCTAAGCCAAGGCCCACCGGCCCCAGGGAGCAAGTGCCATGAGACACTGACCAGACCAAGTGTGGCTAAAGGGACCCTTCTCCCGTCTCTGCCCTGCAGGATCGTGGTGGCTGGATCTCTGCTCCAAAGAGGAATTGTTCCGGATTCAGCTGCTCCATTTGACTTCCAGGCAGCATACGGACTGACTAAACAACTTGTAGGTGTCCTGCCTTCATATTTTAGCTCAGCTGGGGGCCACAGGAGCATGGCGAGAGCTGCCCCATGTGATTTCTGTGTTGCTTTCTGCATGTCTCAACAACACGGACTTAGCTTTTCACCGCAATCCTGCTGGGCTCTGGGGATAGTTTGGGCAGTCTCCTGCCACCTGCTCCTTCTCCTGGGAAGACTGGCCACATGGTTCTGGACGCGAGAACCAGATGGCTTGGGTTCAAGTCCTGACCCCGTGGCCTCCCCATATTGCATGTCTCTCCCAGGCTGAAGCCGTCAGTGACCACTACCCAGTAGAGGTGATGCTGAAGACGGCCTGACACCGGCAGGCAGCACAGCCAGCTGGGTCCTCTGGGGTGGCTGGCGACCCACAGCATGGCAGGTACAGTGCCCCTTTCCCCCACTTTGGTGGGGGGCACCAAGCACGGGGCTGTCACCACAGCACTCTACCTTCTCAGAGCCTGGACAAAAGAGCTAACATTTTAAGAAATATCTTTTGGATTATTATGGATTAAGAAATATCTTTTAATTGAGATAAATAAAGCTCAAGGTGGTGGTCTCATCCACGGCGTCTGGTCTTTCCTCTGCCTGTCCGGGGGTCACTTTCTAGGCAGAGACACATGGTTCCATCTGTCCTCTGGACCGCACCTCAGATCACAGGTCCAGCTGCTTGACTGTCAGTATTTCTCCAGGGCCTTGACAAGAAGGTCATTCAGGCGGCCCACCATGGGCCTGGGGTCGTCAACAAGGCCTGCTGCGATCATGGCGTTTTCATAGATCTGAAAGGCAGGTTGGATACTGTGTAGGAGAGCAGGTGACCCAAAACACAGAGACAAGAAAGGAGAACAGCTCCCAGCCCTGATTCCCCCCACCTCCCCTCACCTGATCGACAAGCAGCTGGGCCAGCTCCGGCTCACGCTGTCTCAGCTCACTCAGCTTTCTGATAAGCGCGTGCCTGTAACAGGAAATCACAGGCCAGTCAGCTTGCACTGGCCACCAGGGTCTCCATCCTCTTGTCCCAGCCACCTCTGAGATGTCAGAGTTAGCAGAGCATTCTACAAAGTGCAACAGGTCCACTGAGTATGAAAAGGTACATAAAAATTAGCTGTAAGTGACCTTTACGTACATGACTCTATTCCCTGAAAGCCTGAAAGAATCAGTTAAGTTTCAGTATTAGAAAATACAGAGAGGTGGACACGCAACAAAACATATACAAAACCCTTCACAATTTCATCTGTGAGGGCCATAAAGGCGAAACTCTCCTAAATCAATCCAGCTGATTCATTTACATTAATAGATTATGTTAAAAGATTTCTTTTGTACCATTCAGAAAACAATTAGGTTGGATTTCTACCTTATGCCTTCGTCAAATTCCTGGAGAGATTAAAGGTACAAATTTGAATCATAAAAGCATAATACTGTGCAGGGTATGGCTCAGAGTTACAGCGGCTGCCTAGCATGTGCAAGGCCCCAGGTTAGATCCCACTACTGCCCCCGCAAAAAAGAATACTAGAACAAGTAACAAATGTATAGCCGGGTGTCAAGGCACACGCCTGTAATCCCAGCACTCGGGAGCATGAGGATTGGTGTGAGTTTGAGGCCAGCCTTGGCTACTAGAGTTCAAGGTCAGCCTGAACTGCACAGTGAGGACCATCTCAAAAAACCCAAAAAAACCCAAAACACCAACACCCCCCGACACACAGGATTTGTAAGGACCCCCGGCAGGCCAGAAAGGGGCCTGGGCTATACCTGGGGTTGATCTCCAGCGTGGGCTGCAGGAGCTGGGCACGCTCCTCCTGGGTCTTGGCTAGCTGCTGCATACGCAGGAAGTGCCGGGCGGCCCCCATCTCTAGCACAGTCACCATGGCAGGGTGGGTGTCCAGGCGGAGAGTCACCTGCAAGCAAGGCCAGAGTGAAGCTGAAAGGGACCTTGGTGGCGAGGGACCAAGGGCTGGCAAGGTCTTCACCAGGAGTGAGGCTCTCCCAGGTCATTTTTTGTTTTTGTTGTCTTTTTGAGACAGGGTCTTGCTATGCTCTGAGTTCACTTTGTAGCCCAGGCTGGTCTCAAACTCAATGATCCTCCTGCTTCAGCCTCCCGAGTGCTGGGATTACAGGCGTGCGCCACCACGCCCGGCCTCTCCTAGGTCATTGAGAAGGCAGGGTCTTTAGGACAGCCTCTAACTACGGAGGCCAACCTTGCCCCTCCCTCACCATCATCGGCACCAGCCTGGTCGGGGACTCCTGCCTCCTCCCCATCTCACCTACACTCTTCTTTAAGGCTCCCCAGTGTTGGTGGTACAGAATCCGGCCTCCTGGCTTGGGCTGGAGAATCATCCTGCGCCAGCCCAGCCACCGGGGATGAGCCAACTCCTGAGCTGATTCAAACCCCAGCTCCCTTATGTCTAGCTGTGATCATTTCCTCATCAAACTGGTGACAACACTTATCTGAGGCCTAACAACCTGGAATCTGTGGAGCAGGGACGCTGTGTGTTACAGAGGCAAGAGCCACCATGGAGTCCTGTCTACACATCTTTCTAGTAATTTCTTCTCCTCCAGCCAACGCTGCCTCCTGGGCCTCCCCCAGCCCAACCTGCACACCAGTCTCTCCCTTGGGCCACTCCTGCACATGGCCCTGAACTAGCACCCTGCACAGAGCACCCCTTTGTTGGTGTATCTTTCTTTAGCCCTGAGCTAGACTAGCAGGTACTGTGCTTTCTGAAGCTCGCCTGGAAGCCCACTAAGACCCCAAGTCAGAACATAAGCTCCCCTCAAATGAGGGTGGCATGTCCCTTCTTGGGAACCCCCATTTCAGCCACTGCAGCTCCTACAGGATCCAGAGCAGCCTGGCCCCAGACCCTCCGCCTCTGGTTCTGCTCACCCACTAGGTGTGGGCTGCTCCTCTACTTCCTCAGCTCCTGGTGCTGTGGGGAAGACAGCCAGGCCCCACTCTCCCTGCCTCAGCAGGCTCCTGGCTTCCCATGGCCACACGTATGTGCAGGAGAGGGGACATGAGGCCCTACACAAGCACGGGAGCAGGGGCCTGAATGGTCTCCACCCGACACCACAGGCTTCTGCTTCTGGGCAAAAGCCCACCAGGGCAGGAACTTGGAGCCACAAGGGGTCTGTGATGGGCACCTAGGACCACGGAACCAGTGTAGCCCACCCCAGGAAGGTCTCACCTTCACAGCAGTGACTCGAGACCCCAGTACGTTCCGCATCCAGGCCATCAGCTCCTCTGTCTCCTTCTCGGGTAGGCGCTCAGCAGCTGCAGAAGAGCAGGCATGAGTGAGCCCAGGGCCATGGCCTGCAGCTTAGGTAATTTTTTCCGAGCCTTAAAAAGTCAATTTGGTTTCTCTCAGGAAGCTGGGTCAACTGCAGGAGCCACTGTAGAAGCAGCAGGGGAAGGACTCCTGGGACCCAATGTTTTCCATGAACAGTTTCCAAGCAGCTGCTTTCAGAGGTAGGTGGTCTCAGACTCAAGACAGAAAATAAATCCTGTGTGAATCCATGGGCAGGCTGGAGAGGCCCTCATGTCAGCCCCCACCACCCAGCTTTGTGGGCCCCCATGCTCTGGAGAAGGTCAAGAGCTGACCTGGGGATGAGTCCTCAAACTTCTCTTCCTTGTAGTGATCAACAACTATGTCTGTCTCCACCGAAATCAGCTTCTTCTTGTCAAACTCACGAAGGTGCAGCAAGGTGAGCTCATCGAACTGCTCATAGCAGAAGAGGACCTGCGGGCGCCAGAACCCTCCATCAGGCCCACAGCAAAAGAATGGACAGTCCCTGCAGACACTGGGGGCTTCTGGACTTGAGTGAGTTTACCTGAAGGTTCTGGGAGGCTCTCGCTGTCTTTGCAGCAGAAACACTATTCATGAACAAAGCTACCCACCACCACCTGTGAGAGGCTACGGCCCTGCCTTGCACCACTGTTGCCTTCCAGGCCTTGAGGGGTTCGAATCTGTCCCTCAGTGTGCGGACCCTGCAGGCATCCCTGTCCCTCACCAACCTCCGTGTTTTTCTGCTTCATAGCCTCATAGTAGGGTGAGTGCTCAGCCAGGTGCCGGCTGGGGGCACACAGGTAGTAGATGTTGCGGGTGCCGGCCTGCATACGGCTGGCGTAGTCTGAAAGGCTGGTCAGCTGCCCAGCGGGCAGTGCCGAGGACTCGTAGCGCAGCAACTTCGCGATGTCCTCCTACAGACAGAAACAGGGACGGTCACTGCTGCCTCCAGATCCAGGCTCTGAGTGTCTCCTCCCCCATGGGCCACAGCCCTGCTGAAGCCCAGGGTTTCCAGCTCCCTAAGGGCAGCAGTGGACCCTCAGACCATCCTTGCCCTGCCCACAAGACCCCATGCGAACAGCCAAAAGGCCTTCCGGAGGCACACCCTCTCTCAGGCGCCCCAGGGCTGAGGGCCGCGCACACCGTCTAGGAGCGGCAGAGCCTGCCCCCGGTACACCCTGTCCCTCAGCCCGGTGTTTTCACTCTGTCCCCCGTGCCAGTCGCTGTGGGCGCCTGGACACGGGCACGCAGTCCACTTTCCCTGCCTCCTCACAGCCAGGGGTGGCTGGAGACAAGCTCTGGCAAGTGGGCTGTAAGTCCCAGTGCGCCTGGAGCGGGAGGCTGGGTGCAGGTGAGACTGCTGCGGTCTGTGTGGGCTGCACTGGCAGGACAAGGAGCAGCAGCAAGCTAAGAGTCTTGTCCTCGTGTCACCAGCCTGCAAACTGCCTTCTCGAAGCCCTGTCACCTCTAAAGTCACGGCACGGGAGGGTGGCAGGGAGCGTGGGAACTTGGGGAAGGAGGACACCGGACACTCAGGGCACGTTTCAGTGAAAGTGCCATGTCTGGGACTCAGGTGGACAGAGGCACACGAAGAGAGGGAATGACAAGGATCAGGAAGCACCTGGTGGGGAGCAGCTGTGCCCACGCCCGTGGGGACCTCTCGGTCCTCACTGGTAGCTTGCATGTGTAACACATGTATGAAGCACTTGAACAAGGCCCTTGATACAGTCGATGCTACCAGCTGCTATTAAGTGAAAACAAGAAGGAATGGGGATCTTAACCAGGCCAGCACAGTGAGCTTCTGGAGTCTGCTGATTGGATGTAGTGCGACCCGGAGGAGCCAGTGACCTTCCCTCATGCAGCTGGCACTCTGCCCCACCTCTTCTCCTGGCCTGAAGCTCAACCTCCATGGGACCCCCTTCTCTTGCTGCTGTTAGGGAGGGCAAGTGCATGGGGCCATCAGGGTGCCAGCCAAGACCGGCCCCAGGGTCAGGATGGGGAGCTCCTGGGGCTAGGGTGAAAGATGTTCTGGAACGAGACAGTGGTGGACTCTGCACACACTGTGGGTGTCCTAAATGTCACTGAGTTCCACAAAGATGACATTTAATTTATGGACTTCATGGTATACAAATGATACCTCAGAAATAGTCAAGAGGCTGGTCGCAGTGGTACACTCCTGTAGTCCCAGCACTCAGGAGGCTGTGGCAGGAGGACTGCCACAAGTTTGAGGCCAGCCTGAGCTACATAGCAAGACCTTATCTCAAAACAAACAAATGAACACACCAAGAAACAAAAACAATAAACCACAGTCAAAGATCTTTAGGGAACGAACATACCATTTTTCAGCAATTAACCACTTGATTAACTGAACTACTGGCTCCAATAGCAGTGTTAAAGGACTTTACCAGTTAGACAATCTCCCTACTAAAGACAACTGCACTCTCTTCCCTAGCCCTGGGCGCTGAGACTTTGACTTACAATGCCTTTCTATGCTGTCTCCAACCCCCAGGATAGTGTGCACCCTCTTCCTGCCAACTTCTGGGCCAGGGAGGAGAGGCTCAGCCCTTTAGTCATGAGCACAGGATCTGCAGGACAAGGGTACAGGCATTCGTGGACCATGTGCTGGGCCTGCTGCGTTGACACCAGAGGCCCAGAAGCCGAATGGCCTGATCGCTAACCCTGTAAGCACTGGTCAGGGGCCCTGCTGCCCCGTCAGTATGTCCAAGGAGGCCTCCACTAGCTTCCTCTGCAGCTCCAGGGCTAAGGCAGACAGAGAAAGGCTCAAAAATCCAGTTCTCTTGCCGGGCATGGTGACACATACCTGTAATCCCATCACTCAGAAGGCAAAAACCAAAACAAAAGCAAAATCAGAACAAACAAAAAAACCCCAGCGCTGTACCTTGACCTCCTGTTCTGCAGTAGTCACGATGCCCTCTCTCATGAATAAGCCGTAATCTTCAAAAAACTTTGCATATTTCTCAGGGTCTTTTTTACTCTGGTCGATGAAGAACTTTATTAGCCTCTGCTGCAGGACACTCCGGAGTTTCCTACAGAAAAACAGTATCTGTGATATAAAGGCCAGAAGGTTAGAGACGTGTTCAGCCCACCAGTAACCAAAGACCCAAGATGAGCAGTACCACTGGGGCTAAAGTGAAAAAGATGAGTTGCAGACTCCTGATGGAGTCACCACCCCCTGTAGGTGGGAATGTGGACAGGTACCCTCTCAGTGGGACCAACTGAGAAAGACCCCTTGAAATCACTCTTCCTTTGTGCCAGCTGTTCCAGCAGCAGGGATGGCACCTATGAAATAATTAGCACACCGATTTGCACAGATCAGGACTTTCACTGTAGCACATGAGATATAAAATGATTATGAACAAACCTGGTATGCAGGAAATGTGAACAATGGCCAGGAAGAATTTTTTTTCTGTGCTGGGGATTAAACCCAAGGCCTCGTACATGCTAGGCCTACATTCTAAGTCTTCATTATTTATTTTGATTCTCAAGTTGTCCCCGATAGGTGGGAGTCCCTTGGAGCTGGCTACTGCTCCTCTGACAAGTCTCTTCCAGCTCTGAGGACTCAGGCCGACATGAGGTGGCCCAGGTACTTCTGTTTTGCTGCACCTGGTCCAAGCCCTGTGGCTTGCTCTGGAGAGCCCTGGCTGCACAGTGGGCAGACCTGCAGTGGGACGTAGGAATTCTGGTTGCCACTGGGATGTCACTGCTCCTAGCCCTCCTGATGTGGACCTTACGAATGTGGGCATGCATACGTGCAAGTGCACACCTCTGCCCACGTTTCCTACCGACTTTCCCCAAGTACCTCCAAGATTAAGCTGGTGCCACCGGGATATTCTAGTCTGTGTCTGAAATGCCCTTTTAATGTTGAGAAGTCTGCATCTTGCTATAGTCTTAAAATGGTTTTTACCTGTTTTGTTACCTAATATGATTACCTATTTGATCTATTCCCTTCCACATACCCAATCTGCCATGGCCACTGCCCTCCCCGTGGGGCCTGGTCACCTGCTTGGCTGCAACGCTCAGTGTCTGCCCACCTCCATGCACGTACTTTCCTTCTCTCCCGGACCCTGGCATTCCACTCAGGCCTCCTCCTCCCCACTGAGGCCCTAAGGAACACTCTCCCTACACTCCATCCTGGGCTGCTGTGGCCCCTTATAGGAGAAGACCCCTGTCCTGTCTTGCTCTGCCCCGTGCCTGAAGGACGAGTGGTTCAGGATAGGTCTGCAGGAAGAAAAGCTTAAATAAATGTAGGCATTATTGTTCTAGTGTGCTGAATTATTAAGGAACTATGCATGCTACAATTTAACTTTTTTTTTTTTTTTTTACAATTTAACTTTTGTAAAAAGCAACAAATTAAGGAAACATGCCTGTGATCCAAATTAATAAAATTACTCCTAATTTTAGGCCTGGGATGAAGCTGCAGTAAACATTCTGATCCACAGGATTCCAACTTTGAAGGTTACAGTATCACGCAGGGCATGGAGGATAAATCCCACTGTAGTGCTCACACACAGCATGCAGCGCTGGTCCCGACAGTACCACTAAGTACAGTGAGGACACGCGGCCTTTGCCTGAGTAGGTGCTGAGCTGTCATTTATCTCTGCCAGGAGTTCCCTGGTTTCTCTTTTACTGCAGGCACTTCTTCACGTCCTTAGGATTATCAAAAGATGTAAGTGTTAATGGCCAGGTGGTAGCACATCACTCATTTTATCCTGTTTCTTCCCTCTGAACTCTGGATTTGCTGGCAGTGCTCAATGGTTAAAGCACTTGCCTAGCATGTGCAAGCTCCTGCGTTCAACGCCCAGTACCAGAAAAACAATGGTGAAGATTATTATCCCTTAACAAAAAGAGGCCTGTATATAATATAAATATAAAATTTAAATATCATGAATATACTGTATATCTGAAAAAGACCATGACATTTACATTGCTTCAAAATACCACTTCACATGATCGTCATTAAAGATAAAGGGGAGAATCGCCAACTAGAGAAGCCCAGCAGATTCTCCCTTAACCAAGTATGTCAATGTGAACATCACCAGCTACCGGATAAGTGGGAAAGTGCTCTTTTGCAGAGCATCAGACAATCACAAATGCAGGGCCATGCCACAGGAGGCCTGGCCTGGTCTCCTCCTGCTCTGTGGGACAGCAATAGAGCTGCACAGTCCTGAGGACAGACAGTGGTGGCAGCGCAGCTCTGCTGCACCCCGAGTTGTGCAAAAGGGTGTCCTCGCCAGCTCGGAACACTAGCCACTCGGCAATGTGGAGCAGGAGGAAGACAGCTCGCTCTCAAAGGGTCCACAAAGACAATGTTCTTTGCACAGTGCTGTCAACTTCTAAGTCTTCAATTCTTCAGATTGATTCAAAACTTCTCCAAAGGCAGAGTCTTTGGATTAAGATGAGATCTAGACTGACAATCTGACAACACACGCAGTGACAAGGTGGCCAGATACCATTCCTGCAGCATGGCACGGCAGACAGCCCAGGCCTCGGTGCTGGGCTACAGCCAGAACACGCAGGTTCCTCTGCAGCTAAGTACGACCTCTCTGCAACTTATCCCCACAGCTATAATGCAATGGCTACAGCACAGAGGGTGAAGCACTATCTGAGAGGAGCCCAGCACAGCCTGTGCTGGAGAATGAACACTGATGACAAAGGGAGGATGGGGAGACAGAGATGCAGCCATTTCAGCCCTGGGATTCCAAAAGCCACGTCGAGCCAGGTTCCTCATTTTACTGGAGCTTCCGGGACCCAGGTCAGCTGTACTTAGTTTTAGAGTCTTGTCTTGCCTCACCGAGCCCTAGACCCAGTGCCTAGAATTTGCCTGACTGTGACCCATACTTGGGATGGGCACATGTCGGGACCCCTCCCAACACCAGCAGTTCTTTAGCACCAGCCCCAACCCTTTCTGCTAACATGAAGCACAGCAAAGAGGGACCCCAGGGGCCCATAGCACCCTTGGCACCACCATGCAAATATACCACCCAAAGCATGCTGCAACTAGCCACAAAAAATTGCCTCCACAGAGGCCAGAAATGCCCTGCTATGGTCAGCAAGTGTGCTGCCCAAGGGCAATGTAGGCAATGCCACCAACGCCACAGTCGCCAGTACTGGTGAAATGTACAGAGGCCCTTTTAAAATGTATTATACAATATATTTGTATTCAATGAGAAAAATAACTTCCTGACTCTAACACACTGGATCGACTATGCACATCCATACAATATGCTACCATATAATTTTAAAAAACTGGGGCTGGGGATTTAGCTCAGGGGCACAGTGCCTGCCTGGCAAGCACAAGGTCGTGAGTTCGATTCCTGGTACCGGAAACCCCACACACACACAAAAAAAAAAAAAACTTAAAAAAATTTTTAAAAACTGCTTTCCCCCAAATTAGCAGCACTGAAAAGTACCCAAAAGCAAGTCCTTACTATGTAGAAAAAAAGGCCGGGGATATAGCTCAGTGGCAAAGTGCCACCAGCCAGTCCCAAATTCCTCTGGACCACAGAATGAGTTGTTTAGGAGTAGAGGAGGCCTCAGAGGCCAGCACAGGCACCCAAAGGGCTCTCAAGAGGCCCCAGGCCCGGCCTCACACCCCTCACCTCATACTCCTCATACCTTACTCTTGGCTCCTGTATTCCCAGCCAGGGTGGTGGGGCAGAGCTGGCTCTCACCAGGAGTCAGGCTGCCTGCCTGTGGCTTACCTGATGAGGGTGCTCTCCTGCAGGAGCTCCCGGCTGAGGTTTAGGGGGATGTCTTCGCTGTCTACCACACCTGAGAAGGACAGGGCAAGTCAGGGGTGCCTGTGCCTGTGAATGGTCAATCACCACTCATATCCACCTTGCTCCGAACTGGCCCTTCCTCTATAGCCTGGCCTTACACAGACCTCGTGAGGTTAAGAGCCTCCTTGTATCCTGCTCATCCCCCAGGTGGATGAGACACATCGAAGGGCAGGTTGCCTGTGGCCTCAGAAGCCCTGGGATACTTGGAAAATACATATTGGATTTCATCTTAAAAATTCTCTTTTTTAGGCCAGGTATGGTGGCTGTATGCCTGTAATCCCAGCACTCAAGGGTGAAGCGGGAGGATCACTGTGAGTTCAAGCCCACCCTGACTATATGGTGAGTTTAGGACCAGGCTACACTAATAGCAAGACCCTCTCTCCAAAAATGGAGTCTCGCTATGTAGTGTAGGCTGGCCTCGAACTCATGGCGATCTTCCTGCCTCAGCCTCTGGAGTGCTGGTATTACAGGCACGCACCACCAAACTCAACTCAAAAGAATTCTTAACTACATAATATACAGTGTGCCTTTGTGATACGAAGATCTAAATGCTGAATTCTTTTTTTTTAAATTTACAACATGTACTTTACTTCAACTGTTTTGTCTTTAAATGCCGAATTCTTTACTAAATTATAATCTCAAGTTCAACTCAATTCATGCATAAATTGACCCTTATAGATTTCAAAACACTAAATGAACTCAATACTCCTCCACCCCCTAAGCAACCAACTATCACTAGTGCTGAGGCCAGGAAGCTTCCTGAGGGCTCTGAGCAGCTTTCCCCTGGCCACTCTGTAAACACAAGTAGTGCACTCAGCCATGCTCGGGAAAGACAGTGTCGGAGTCAGCCCAACAGCTCATTTTCTACACAAGGGTAGACAGGGCCCCATGAAAGCCACTCACGGACACAGGCCCAGGCCACGCCACACAGCACCGTGTTGGGCCACCATACCTCGGATGAAGCGCAGCCACTTGGGCAGGATGTCTGCAGCCTTGGTCTGAATGAGGACCTTGCGGCTGTACAGTGCCACGCTGGAGCCCAGTTCCCGGCTCACATCCAACATGGATGGTTTCTGAGGGCAAGGAAAGACAAGGTCAGGCAGCAACAGTAGAAATGGACCTCAGCCACAAGCAGGCAGAGCCTAAGACAAGATGCCAGAAAGCCAGCCCTCCCAAAGGCTGCCCTGGGTGATGGAAGGTGGACAGGAAATGCCGAGGAGACAATGTTCCACCGCCATCCCTTATTCACTCCTCCCCATCTGCTCCACTAGCAGTCTGAGGTCTGGGGAAAACAGCCCCACCACACTGGGCCTTGTAGGGGTGGGATGGCTGCTGCCCTCAACAAGCTACTCCCTGCAGAGGGTATATGGGACATGCTGAAGACAGTATGTCCCAGAGATAGACCCAAACCCTGCTAGAGGTTAGGAGACCACAGGCCATAGGCCAATGCCTCATTGCCTAGCTGTGTATGGCCTAAGAATGACTTTTACATTTTTAAACAGTTGGAGAAAAAAAATCAAATAGGACTATTTCAAGACATGGGGAAAGGCGGGGAATGTGATCATTAGCGCCTGTCAGTTCACTAACACTCGGCCTTGCTGGTCTGCCGGGGCACTGACCGAGGGGCTTTCCAGCCAGGACAGCAGGGTCAGCAATGACCATGGGCTGTGTGGCTGAAAAGCCATGCTCCTCTGCCCAAGCCCTCACAAAAGAGGCCTGCCAGGGCCTGTTCTGCACCGCCTCTCGGCTCTGTCATACCGTGGGCTCTTATCTGGAGGTTGCCGAAGGCTGAGACCCAGCATCTCTAACCGGTTCCAGGGGACACCGAGAGTCAGGCAAAGGCAGGAAGGCTGAGGAAGCGCTGGACAGGCCTCTTCGCTCTAGGACTCAGCTGAGCTGCTATGCACCCCCATGAGCCAGGGAGGCTGAGGGCCAGGTGGAGCACACAGAGGGCGCCGGCACTGTGGACCTGCCACAGCCTTTCCAGGACGTCTAGCAGAAAACCTGATACAGCGCTGCACCGCATGGTCTGGCTGGCTGAGAGGGCCCAGCAGCTGTTCCTACGGCCCCTCCCTGGCACTCTATGCCAGTCTGCCTCCAAATGCCAGCGGCCAGCTTGCATGAAAGATGTCACGTAAAAAGTCCCTTCACTGTGCACAAGCAGTGGGAGCCTGAAATCACCAACGCTCCACACCCAGAAGGCTCTGCTTTCTTTTGCTCTAATCCTGTCTAGTATCGCCGTGGCACACTGGCACACTGTGGCACTTGGGGATACACTGGCTCCAGAGGGGCAGGGGAGTGGCTGAGGGCCACGTCGGGGCAAACTGAGCATCTCACCGTCTCTGGCACGTAGAAGATGCTCCGGATGTTGAGGGGCGCATCCGTCTTATAGTGCAGAGTGTAGCGGGGCTTATCATAGGCCTGGGTGATGTGGCGGTAGAACTGCTCATGCTGTGCCTCACTGAGCTCCTTGGGATCCATCATCCAGATGGCCTAAGAAGGGAGACCAATGGGGAGTCATCCCATTTAAAATGTCCTCCCATGGGCCGGGGATATAGCTCAGTGGCACAGCGCCTGCCTGGCTAGCATGAGGTTCTGAGGTTGAGTCCTGGTACCAAAAAATAAATTAATTAAATAAATAAAATAAAATAAAACGTCTTCCCAGTGGCTGCATGTAGTAAACTAGTAGAGCACATGCCCCTAGAGCGCCTCCTGGCACAGATGGGCGGGGTCCTAGGAGCAGACCCCCTCCTGCTAGGGTAAGGGCAGGGGGACACACAAAGGGTTCTTGGACAAGTGTTCCAGTATGGGGTTGCGGGGAGATGAGGAAGGGGTGGAGCTGAGGGTAACACATAATGACACTGTCTACTCCTGGGCAGGCTGAAGTACAAAATGGAACCCTTCATTCAGCAGAGGATCACTCAGCCATGACAAGGAACAAAGCACTGATATAAGCTAAAACACGGCTGAACCTTGAAGACATTAAGCTCAGTGAAAGAAGCCAGATCCCAAAGGCCATGTATTACACGAGCCTATCTATATGAAATATCCAAAGCAACAAAGAAAGTAGACTGTGGCTGCTGGGGCCAGGGAGGAGGGAGCAGGAGGCAGTGCCCGAGGACAAGGCTGCTTTATGGAGCAGTGGAAATGTTCTAACACCGGCTGTGGAGGAAGCGGCATAACCCAGAATGCACCGAACACTAGCGGACAATATACTGCTCTGTGAGGTGTGTGGCTCACACCTCATGACCCCCTCATGACCCTGTGTAGACTGGGTAGCTAGGGTCAGGGACCAAGCCCCCCCCCACCTTGTGTCACCTGTGCTGTTCCACCAACAAACACACGTCCTTGGTGGACTTACTACTGCTCAAGCCCTGTAGGCAGCTCAGGGCCTCACCTGCAGGGTGTTAATACGTCTTCCATTGAGGTATAAGGGGAAGCTGACGAAGTTACTGTATTTTGTCACCACATCTGCAGAAGACAGAGACAACAGTGAAGACCTGAGTGTTCGAGGTGAGCACAAACCTGCCGGGAAGGGGTAGTTCGTGCTGTGTCATTTCACAGGTGCAGGACTAAGGGGCAGCAAAGACGCCTGTGTTTCCCAGGTCACACGGTGGGTAGCAGCAGAACTTGAAGGAGAAGCTGACCTTTTGGAGCCAGATCCACCACGAGGCTGTGAGGCCCTCTGGAGACAGAGGACTGGGCCCAATGGGCTAATGCTGTGTCCAGGAAGTGCTCAGCAATCTTAACAAACTCCCAAGGAGATTCAGAAAGAGACACGGCCCACAGAACTTGCCTCCCTTCGGCTCTCAGGACCATCTGAGGTCAGAAACTCCAACAGGCAGGTACAGGAAGCCCCGTAGGACAAACTTCACCAAAAGCACCATTAACAAGACCAAAGGCAGCGTCTTGTATGCCGCAAGCCTTTCCTTCAAGGTCCCCAGCACAGAGCCAGTGGGGTCGCTTCCTCCACTGACCCATGGGCCAAGCCCTGAAGTTTGGCCCTGCTCAACCGTGCCGACATGCTGCTCATGCAGGTGGAGCCTGGTGAACACCCTTGTGCCTACCCTTCCAGGGCCCAGCTACCTCACCTCGAACCCGGGCCTCGTTGGCGAACTCTCTGCAGTCTGGCTTGAGGTGGATGACAATTTTGGTCCCAGTTCTAACGCCTGAAGCTTCAGCGATTTCAAACACTCCAGAGCTAATACACAAAAGAAAGAACCAGCCAGTTCCACACGTCACTAGCTAGAGACTTTTGTATGGTAAATCCAGTCCTACTGGAATTTTCTCAAGGCACCATGCAAAGAGGGCATGCCCGGGGCGGACCCCGGCAGAGCCTCTCTGACCACCATGGACATCAGGGACAAGGACCACTGGCTGCAGCATCGTGTGTGAGTCCCCCAGCTACCTCGCGAGTCTCCCTCTAAAACCTCCAAGGCATGTGTGACTCAACAGATCCACAGCATTGGGGCCTGGGCCAGCTCATATGGGCACCAGATGCCTGGGGGAGAAAAGGCTACCTGCTATGTTGTTTCTGAGTCTGGCAGAGGCCAGGCTGAGGGGAGCAGAGAGCCTCTCAGAAGTGAAGGGACAGGGGATGTCCCAGGTAGAGCCTTGCGGACACCCAGCCATGTCCACACTGAGCACTACTTTCATGGAATTCATGGAGCCTCAGTCTGGACTGGGGCAAGTGCAAGTTGCACCACGGACGAACCACTGCCCTTGCAGTGCAGTCAGTGGCATATAATTCAAAAATGAAATTTTGGGGCCAAGGAAAACTCCTTAAATTTGGCTGAGGTACCACTGTCCTCAAGTATCTTCTGATGTTGTTTCAGAATATCCACCTAATCACCAGATAAGACTTCGTCTCCAAGTATCTCAGAGAGGACTCTGGCCTGGCCAGACAGACAGGTGACAAGGCCACTCGATCCCTGGAGATGCCCCAGGCAGACGTGCCCCTCTCAGCCCAGCCAGGTGGCTGTAGAGGAGCTCCGTGGCACAGAGGCTGGAGGAGGTGGCTCAGCCGGGCACCACGGGAAAGGCCACCCCAATCACACGGAGGAGCTCAGCCTGGACAGGCCAGCACTGCAGAGTGAGGACTGGAGAGAGCTCTGGGCTTTCAGGACCTCAAAGGAATTCCTTCCCCAACGAACATCCCAGAACATGCCTATTTGCATCTCCTGTTTCCACAGTTTGTGGTAACTGCCAATTTGCACATCATGTAATACTTGACTCCAATATCCCCAGGGACAGGAGCACTCCCTGTGTGAGATGGGCCTGGTCCTCACTTACTCACCCATCTGAAAGCCACTGGTAGCCGGGGCTCCCTGGAGCTGCGGAGCGGGAATAGACCTCCACTCTATCAGCCACCATGAAGGCTGAGTAGAAACCCACTCCAAACTGGCCAATGATCTTGCTGCTGGCCTCCGCCTGGTCCTGTAGTGCTTCCAGAAAGGCCTGTGGTGGCAAAGACTGCTCAGGAGGAGGCTGCTCTCTTCTGCACTGGAGCCGGCATATGTGACATCTAAGCACGGTCCTCCAGCACATGCCAGGACCCTGGTTAATTCTGAAACAATGACACTGACCCCTCCACACACCACTTTATACATAAAGAACTAAGTGATGCTAGGCCTAGTGGCACATGACTATAGTTCCAACACTCAGGAGGCTGAGGCAGGAGAATCACCACAAGTTCAAGGCCAGCCTGGGTTACAATAGTGAGTTCAAGGCCAGCCTACACTATAAAGGAAAACCCTGTCTCAAAAAAAAAGAAAGAAAGAAAGAAGTAAGCACCTTCTCCAGAGCATCTGTGTCAAGTTCATGCAGGGTGGGAAAGTGCCAAATGACTTTACAGAAAAGCAAGGAGGTGGTATGGAGCGTTCTAGACTCAGACAACAGGGACCCTATGCACTGTGCTTTATAGCTCTGGACAGAGTGCTCACTTCAGCCCTTTCATGTATAAAATGTACACACTGTCCAAAACTACTAGAGGTTCCTGTGACACTAAAGGGAAACAAGGCCATAAGCATCCCCACGGTGCACCCCTCCTGGAACTCACCTGGTCAAGTCCTTACTCTATCTGGTTCCCAGGGCTACCCTACAGGAGACATGCTGGGCCCGTGCTTACCTTTGACCCTGACCTGGCGATCGTGCCTAGGTTGGATACCAGCTCCTCCTGTGTCATTCCAATGCCGGTATCCTGAGGAGAGAGACACTAAATGTTAAGCATAGTTCTGGGAACTGGGGTGAGGGCTACAGTCAATGCCTGCAGGCCAGGGAGCTCCTCTACCCTCCTGGGTTCAGAGGGGCACGTCTGCCTGGGGCCTCTGCAGGGATCGGGTGGCCTTGTCACCCGTTCCTGTCTGGCCAGGCCAGAATCCTCTCTGAGATACTTAGAGATGACATCTGTCTGACAGGGTGATTAGGTGGACACAGGTGGCTTCCCTGATATTGGCCAGATGGGCCAGCAAGCACACCCCACGCTCATCAGAAAAGCCCAAGGCCAGGCATGTGAGCCACAATACCTCATAGGAAATTGGAATGGGTAGAAGTAATCGACACTAAACCAACCCTGGAGCTGGGTGTGGTTCAGTGGTACAGCATGTGTTTACTAGCACATAGCAGGACCTGGGTTCCATTCTAGGACCAAAAATAATGAATAAAAGTCAATCCCGAGAAGATACTAAGTCAGCAACTCAGAGGAAAATGTGTAACACTTGTTACGGAGGAGAGGCTCTGTCTACACACCCTGCTCAGCTCTGCTTCCTTCCTTGGTCGTTGTCCTGGCAGGTGCAAGGACTACAGTTCCTTGGGAGAAGGAGGTAGAGAGACACCTGTTGCCCTCACCACTGCTCTCCCAGAACAGCTGCAGCGCCCACTGGGGGTGCAGCTCTTTCCCTCCCACAGCAGGTTGCTGTGCTCTCAATGCTAGGGTCTGCCAGGTGATGGTGTCGTGAGTTATTGTCAGGACACCACTGTTTGGGAAGTGATCAGGTCATGAGTTATTGTCCTCAGGAATAGGATTAGTGAGTACCATTAAAAAAGAGGCCTCCAAAGCCGGGCGTGGTGGCGCATGCCTGTAATCCCAGCACTCGGGAGGCTGAGGCAGGAGGATCGTTGTGAGTTTGAGACCAGCCTGGGCTACAAGGTGAGCTCAAGGCTAGCCTGAACTGCACAGTGAGACCCTGTCTCAAAAAGACCAAAAAAAAAAAAAAAAAGGCCTCCAAGCAGGGCATGGTGAGACACACTTGTAATTCCAGCCCTTGGCAGTCAGATGCAGGAGGATCGCCTCAACTCTGAGGCCAGGCTGGGCTACATGATGAGTTTAAGGACAGCCTGAACTACATAGTGAGACCCTGTCTCAATCCCTCATCCCCTCAAGAAAAGAGGTAAGAAAAGCTCTCCAGAGAGCTTGTCTGTCCCTTCAGCTAGCTAAAGACACACAGAAAGACACCACATCTACTAGCAACTTGACTGTGAATTTCCTAATTTACAGAACTAGGATGAACAACTATTGTTTATAAATTACCCAGCCTGCTGGGTATGGTGGTGCACACCTGTAATCCAAGCACTTGGGAGGCTGAGGCAGGAAGATTACTTCAAATTCAAGGCCAGCCTGGGCTACATAGTGAATTCAAGGATAGCCTGAACTACATAATGAGACCCTGTTTCAAACAAACAAACAAACAAACAAACAAACAAACAAAGCAAAACAAAACAAAATTACCCAGTCTAAGATATGCTGTAATAGCATCCCAAACAAATTAAGACACAGGCTGAGGTGCCTGTGAAAACTCAAGGGATGCTATTTCTGCTTCAAAGTCCGGATGGTTCCCACTTAAGAGTTTCCCTGCCTAAGTGCACCTAGCTTGCCCTTGCTATGCCATGCAGCATGCCCTAAACAGAGCAGTTTGCCACCAAGCTGCCATCAGCTTCTGAACTGGGTAAAAAGAACGCAGAACAGTTTCTACCTGGTTCTAGGAGGCTATTTCTAAATGTTTTATCCTTAGGACAGCATGCAGAGAGACCTATGGCCCTGTGATCAACAAAGAACATACAGGCACAGTGCCAGACAAGAATTTCAACAATATTCAACCTATAACACAGGATGAGACACCAGGCAGACACCAAATCCCAAGACTGCCGTTACCATAGGGCACTCAGGCGTGTGCCACAGGCCCCAGGACCCCACAGGATGGGACACCAAGATGCCTCTAGTCAGTTCTCTCTGAGATACTGGCAGGAAGATCCCCAAATCTGCCCTGATATATTTACTGTGAACATGGAATAATTGCAAGTAAAGAACAGTTTAAAATTAGTTTCTAGAAGCTCCAGTAGAGCAATCAGTTAGTGCGTGATACTTGTATAAAATTAGTTTCTAGCTGGCACTAGTTATTAAATATAATTTACTTTTTTCTTTTTTTGATACAGGGTCTCATTATGTACTTCAGGCTGGCCTTGAACTCACTATGCAGCCAAGACCTCCTGTCTCAGCCTCCTGAGGGCTGGTACACACACACCCAGCTGAAACATAATTTACATTGAAACGTTCATTTCAATATACTAGAACTTTCAGCAAAATCCTAAGGGAAAGGTTCATGTTAGACTGGTGTAAAGAAAAACTGTATCTAATAATTCCTGTTTTCAATGCATTTTGTATTCTTCCCAAATTGAACTACAAACTCATTGCAATCCCAATGAAAATGTACAGGTTTTATAGAAAATGACAAGCTGATACTAAAAATTACACAATTCAGAGAACCTAGTCTTTTATCTCCCTAGTACTGGGAACTGAACCCAGGGAGCACTGAACTACATCCCCAGCCCTTACTTATTTAGAGATAGAGTCTTGCTAAATTTCTCAGATGGCCTTAAACTTGTGATCCTCCTGCCTGAGTCTCCTGAGTAGCTAGGATTACAGGTGTGTACCACTATGTGTGGTTTGGAATATTCTGAAAAAGAACAAGGTTGGAGAATTTATATTACCTAATTTTAATACTTCCTATAAACCTACAATAGTAAAGTCTGACATAAGCATTTTAGGATAGATAGAGTATACAAATCGAAGAAACAAATCTTCCCAGACAAGAGTCACAGGGGACATGCCACTTGATTTCTGACCAGGTCTCAAAACAATGCAGTGGGAATGGAAGTCTTTAAGCAGATGCTACTAGAGCCACATGAACAAAATCAGTCTCAACCTTGACCTCACATTTTATACAAAAATTTGCTTGAAATTTGCACAGATCTAATTGTAGGAGCTGAAGGTATGAAACTTTTAGAAGAGTCAGGTACGGTGGCGCACTCCTGTAATCCTAGCTATTCTGAAGACTGAAGCAAGAGGATTGCAAGTTCAAGTCTTGCCTATGAAACTTAATGGGATCCTATCTCAAAATAAAAAATAGCAAAAGGGCTGGGGGATGTAGCTCAGTGGCAGAATGTCCCTATGTTTGATGCTTGTTTTGAGTTTGTAGTACCCAAACGAACAAACCTCAAAAACCCTTCTAAAAGAAAACATGGGAGAAAAATCTGACTTTATAGGAGGTAAAAATTTCTTAGATCACTAAAAGCATGAAGCATAAAAGTGGTAACTTGATTTCCTTCACGTTAGGGGTATAACTCCGTGATACCATACTTGCCTAACATGCAAGAAGGCCCGGGATCCATCCCTAGCAACACACACACACACACACACACACACACACACACAGTTACAAAATTCTTTTTTTTGGGCAGGGTCTTCCTATGCAGTTCAGGCTGGCCTTGAGCTCACTTTTTAGCCCAGGCTGTTCTCGAACTTGCAATGATCCTCCTGCCTCAGCCTCCCGAGTGCTGGGATTACATGCATCCACCACCATGCCCAGCTCAAAACTCTCAAAAATTAAAAAATTTAAGAGGCTCGCGGATGTAGCTCAGTGGAGCTGTTGCCTAGCATGTACAAGGCCCTGGGTTTGATCCTATGCACAGGAAAAATAAGAAACAAAACTACAACAAGCAATAAACAATAACAATTATGATGACAAAAAGTCTTTTGCTCCTTGAAAGATAGCACTAAGATAATAAAAAGATAAGCCAACACGTGATTTTAAGTTTACTTCTCTTCTGCCTCCCAGTTTCCAAATTTCCTATGACAGGCAAGTACTAATTTACAGTAAATTAGAACACAAGTCTCGGAACAGGAAAGATGGTCAGCCCCACCTGAGCCGGACAGAAACAGAACACTGTGTGAACTCCCTATGTCAGTGTGTGAGTCAGAACCACTGCTCCCCGTTCTCTGCTCCTCTGCAGCCAGGACTTTTGCCATACACCTGAGCACTGAGAAGAAGTACCTGGATTGTGATGGTTCCTTTCTCAGTGTCAGTCTGCAGATGAATCTCCATTTCTGGCAACGTTTGGCCATCAGATACCAGTTTATGGCGCAGTTTTTCCAGGGCATCACTGGCATTGGAGATGAGCTCCCGTATGAATACCTAGGAACACAAGTAGAGGAAGGAGGGTGAAGGACTCTGTGGATGTGGCTGACTGGCTGTGTTTCAACAGCTAGAAGTCAGAGATCCACCAAGGAATACTCGGTCTTCAGACACAGACCCCCACGGCAGTCAGCTCCCCTGGGCAGGCCACACCACCGCTAAAGGGGGAGGGCTCGCCACTTTTCCTTTCAGGATATTCAGTCAAGCCTAAAGCTATGGGCCCACCTGTTATAAACTTAAGAAGAATCCCAGAGGGAGCTGTTTCTTTCCCAATTCTTGCACAGAGATGAACACTGCCCTCCTCCCCAATCTCTTTCCTACTCCAAGAAAAAAGATTCACCGCTTCATTTCATCTAGTGCAGGTGATCAAATATCAGAGCCTCCACCTTCCACAGGAAAGGTGGCCACAGCCCCTACAGTCCTTTCTGGGTCTAAAAGGCAATTTCATCTCACACAGAGCTCCCACTCAAGTGCCATAGCTCATGGGGCAGACTGGCAGGTGGGTGACCAGACAGAACAAGACCTGGACACACATTCTAAAACGCCCCTTTGAATTTGCTAATATTATACTCCACCTTTCTTCAAAATCTTCTTAGCAGCCCAGCAGTCCTCAGTATGGAACTAACTCACAGCTTATGTGATCTTCACTACTTTTTCCAAGTCCTGTAACCACTAAATGAGCTTTAACTCCCTCTAGGCCCCACACAGAACAGGGCTGTCTTCTTCCTCAACTGCCGACTCCTTCCATACCAGGTGAAGAGGCAAACACCGGGGCCCCGAGCACTCTGAAAGCAGAACCCCACGACAGTGTCTGGGGGATTTAAAAATCAGCAAAATTCAATTAACTTCCAGAATCAATCTGGCTCAAAGAATCATCTGGATACACTTACTCATGAAACCAAAACAGATTTTGGAAAAATATTCTCACTAGCAGATTAAAATCAAGGCCTGTCCACAGCCTAACGCATTTTCACAGCTAGTACAGGACCCACTCTTTCCCTAGGACGGCTGAAAGCAGTTCTGCCAGAACACTCGCTAGCCTTGGGAGTTGTAAACATGCACACTACCTCTTTCTCTGAGTACAAGGAACAAGCCACAATGTCCAACAGCTTCTTTGTCTCTGCCTGGAACTCATGTTTGGAGATAGAACCTAGTAATGAATCACAGATACAACCAATAAAATTTCAGTTCTATACTTGTGGAAGAATATGCTACATACTATTCAATAGGAGGTTTAAGGGTCTGCATTTTAAACATCTATAAAGAGCAAACAAAGAGAAAAGTTGACAGGAACAAAGTTTCTTAGATGAGGAGGGCTCAGGAGCAGAACACTGCGCGGCTCCTTTCTCAGCAGAGGCAAAATGACCCTCTAGTAGACCTCAGTTCTCATGAGCTCACGCAGGCCTGTCTTAACAACCAGGTCCCATGTTTTTTTTTTAAAGGTAATGTTCTAATAAATTATTTAAAAAGCGAAGTAAGAAAACCTCACTTTTCTTCTTAACACTTCTTTTCATCTCACTTAAAAGGGAGAACGGAACCCCTTCGGGCCTGGCTCAGGACTCTGCCTTTCCACAGTGCAGAACACAGTCCTGCCAAGTGGGGCCGATGCTCATTTCCTGTCCAGCTTTCCTGATTACTAGCAGATGTGCCATGTCCTGCTATGGCCTGCCAACGGGCAAATTCCTGAGTTACCACCAGAGGGAGTCAGATGCAGCCAGAGAAAACCAGAAGTTCCGAACTGGCAGGGAAATGGATACTGTAATCTGGGACAACCCAGACCTGAGTGCTATGAGGTCGGGAGGTACTGCCTCTACCTTAAACCTGTCCCTTGAGAGCTGGCAGTGAACCAAGAAAGGCTACACAGATCGGCTCTGGCTGAGCACCTACCCTGCACCGCCTCTGTGCTGCTTATGATGGAGTGTAGGGTCTCCTCCTTCTTGTCCTCAGCAGCCTGCGTGCTATATGGCCGTCCTGCATAGAAGGTAGAAGCCAGCTGTTGCCAGCGGCTCCTGAACTGGACCGTGGACCTCTGAGGACACAGAATTGGCTTTCCTGAGAAGACAAATGTACAGAAAGGATGAGAACTAATATTCAGGAGCAAAATGTCCTAATTCATCCACATCTAGTCTGCAAAGCACAGACTAATGTGGATTTCTCTAACGCAGGCTGCTCAATAGAGGAATGAAAAGTGATAAACGTCACAGAGCTGCTACTGTTTTAATATGAGGTCTGGTAACATTCCCTTACACTTGTCAAGCATCAAGTAAGTGTGTCTTACCGAAAAGCAGCTAATCTTCTGTTCTACCTGGCAACCAGGAAGAGGATCACACTCATTTAGCATGACTTCCTGTACGGCCTCAAGAGCCCAGAAGCCTCCTAGGAGAGCACAGTGAGGGGAGATGTGGCTCAGCTGATGCGTGTCCCCAACTGCTGCCGTCTACACTCATCCTCAGCCTTTGGTGCCACAGCAACCAGCTGCTCAGACCCTGCTCTGTACCCTGCAGGCAGAACTGAGTCCTGGCACCACTTGCCAGCCCCACATGCCAGCAAGTCAGGGCCCTAGAGCTGCTCAGCAGATGTCCAGTGGGCATTGGTCTCAAGGATATGTAGTCATTCAGTAGGACTTTCCTTGTAGACAGTTAGACCTCAATAAACGCATAGTGCTCTTCCTTGCAAATCTGTAATGGATGGAAAGGAACAGTGCAGAATGACCAGAAAAAAAGGTTTTCAAAAATTTTTTTAAAAATTCAGTCTTTAAAAAAAAAAATTCAGTCTTTTTAAGACAGGGTTTCACTATGCAGTTTAGGCAGGCCTTGAACTTACTTTGTAGCTCAGGCTGGACTCGAACTTGCAGCAATCCTGCCTCAGCCTCCTGAGTGCTGGGATTACAGATGTGCACCACCATGCCCAACTAAGTAAGTTTTATTTTTTATTTATTTTTTGCAATTAGATTTTATTGGTACATTTTAGATATACACAATAATCACATTCATGATATAACTTGTTTTTTAATAAGCAGGTTCTAAAAACTAATATATCAACTTCTACATCCCCAAAAGATAATTTTTAAAAATCACCTACTCTTTTGGCTTACATTTGGACTTCTACATAACACAACCCTGAGCTGCTTGGCCACTGCCGTGAAGTATTATAGGACAGGTGAGCCCTGGAATAAAGATGTCAGAGGGGACCTGAGTTCAGTCTCTGCGAAGGGATAGCATCTACATTCAAGTTCTACTGATAGCGCTATGACTGCAGCACACACCACCCAGCCGCATGGCTGAAGAAACTTCCAGGAAGGAGGAGCACAGGCCAGCAACAGCTGGTAGGCTCTACCTCTTGTGAGTGCTGCAGGTGTTTGGCAGCCTCACGCCAGGTAGCCGTGTCTGGTCCTCTTACCGCTGGCTACTTGGCAGCTCCCTGTACATCACACTGCAAAGGCCAGGGCGGTCACCCCAGCGGTGGCACCGTCAGCGTCCCTCCCCTGTGCTGGCCATGTGGCTTCATTTGCTCTCCTGCCCTCCAGATACTACCCCCACCCAAGCCCTCGCTCCTCACACTGCAGTGAGATCAAAAGCTTGCCCATCAGTGCCCTGGCCTGTGATCCGTCCCTTCACCTCTGCATGGTCAGCCTCTGATACTAGTGTCACCTTACTTCCCAGAAGGCAGAGGTTCTATTCCTGACCACAAGCATGTCACCGTGACTAGCTCCAGGCTGGCATTCCAGCCCATCCATCCCGTAATCCTTGGATCCTACCTTGCCCTGCAGCAAGTGTGCATATGCCCCCTGTGCCCACACTGGGTGTTCACCACGCATGCTCCCTCTACCTCTCCTCACGCTCCTTCCACCACTGGGACAAGTGACACACAGAGGGTACTTCCTAAGTTCTTGCACATATGCCCAGGAACAGGAGACAACGCTGCAAGCCCACAGGAAAAGGCTGGCTCTCCATGCTAATGGGTCTCTCCCAGAGCCCAGCCATGTTGGTCCATTCTGTCATCAAAGATTTCCTCAGGGCCATTTGCCTCTTTCTGTCCCACCCCAATTCTGCCAGGAGGCCCTTTCCTTACTACTCATCTAGGGCCTCCAAAAGCCAAGGGGTCTATTCCTTCCCCTCCTTGCTCAGCTGAAAGCATCTCATCCTAAAAGGAAACCTTGTAATGTAACCCTCTGGGAACATAACTGAATGTAGACTCCATACAGGGAAATTTGTGAAGTTCTCACATATTTATTACTGAACTTGCCTCCTAGTACAGATCACAGAAATAAACAGAAGAATCAGATTCCCAATAAAACACACCCAGCCAGGTGTGGTGATGCACGCCTATAATCCCAGCATTTGGGAGTCTGAGGCAGGAGGATTGCCGTGAGTTTGAGGCCAGCCTGGGCCACATAGTGAGCTCATGACCAACCTGAACTATATGGCAAGACCCTGTCTCAAAAAAAAAAAAAAGGACTAAGCAAGGAATATAGGAACACAAAACAAGAAAATAACGGCGAAGTTTCATAACTATCTGGACACCATAACTACCTTGAAAGAAGAACTAACCTAAGCAACTTTAGACAATGGTGTTTTGACTACACACTGTAACACTAACCTCAAACGCTGCATCCAACGGGTGTATGAGGGCTGTCAATCTGTGCATCAACATGAGTCAGCAAGCCTGAAGCTGCTGTCAGTATACAGGAAGATCCAGCAAGGAAATCCAGGTGGTGAATGAGGCTAGCTCCTCACCGCTGGGAGGAATTACACACAGGGACAGGGCGCTGGCATATATACCTGGCAGTGCTGCGTTGCCAGTGGGGGCACCATATGAACTTCGCACCTCTACTCTATATAGACTGGATACCAATATGGAAAAGTGTGTGAAAACCAATATGGAAGTGTGTGACTCTGTGGGTGAGCACACATACACATCCTACCAGGCTCTAGTGCCTGACACGGCTAAGAGTGATGACACCCAGAAGCAACAGGCACAACCAGGTAAGTGTGAGCAGCCCGGAACTGCTTCAGTCAGTCCTCGAAGGTCCACCCATGCCAGGAAGTCCCTTGGTCCCAGGGAAGCTGGGACAGCTGGCCACCCTATCCTTTTCCAGTAAAGGAACAAGGGCTCTTTAGAGGATGTACAAGATGAGCCTGAGCATTATGTGGTGAGAAGATAATGCTGGACTCAGAGATGACGGGGACGGGGCAAGGAAGGGTAGCCAGCAGCCCCACTTGAAGGGACTCCCAGCAGCACAGCCTGGGACAATCTGGGCAAAAAGATAAAATGATAGCAATGGATTAGAAACTGTAAATCAGCAGCTGGAAATGGCAGTGTTACCTTATAAGCCTAGCATTCTGGGAGGCTGAGCCAGGAAGATTGAAAGTCCAACCCCCGCCTGGGCAACTTAGTGAGAGACTGTTCAAAATAAAACAATTTAAAAGGGGGGCTGGGGATTTAGCTCAGAGGCACAGCGCCTGCCTGGCAAGTGCAAGGTTGTGAGTTTGGTTCCCGGTATTGGAAATCCCCCCACCAAAAAAAAAAATTTAAAAGGACTAGAGGATGTAGTTCAATGCAAAGTTAATCTCTGAACCATAATAAAACAAATATGAAGAACCTCAGAAAAAAAAAATTTTTTTTTTTTTGTACCAAGGATCAAATTCAGGACCTTGTGCTTGCCAGGCAGAGGCTTATGCCACTGAGCTATATCCCCAACCCCACAGTAAATAAATAAAACAGCCAGGTGTGATGGCACAGGCCTATAATCCCAGCACTCGGGAGGCTGAGGCAGGAGAATCATGAGTTTGAGACCAGCCTGGTCTACAAAGTGAGTTCAAGCCAACCTGAACTGCACAATAAAGCCCTGTCTCAAAAAAAAAAAAAAAAAAGACAAAAATAAATAAATAAATAAATAAAAGAGATAAATTACAACCCAGCAAACAAAATATTAGTCCACACTTCAGTAAACAGAGAAGAATGGGCAGTTTTTCCTCAAGTTTGAACATGAATACATGTAAAGGAACAATGGAAAAAATGACCATCAGGAATATACCACAGTCATAATTACAGCAAGTACATAAGTCATTAGTGGATGTTCGGCACAGAATGTTTACATAATCTTAAAATACTCCCTTCACATACAAGATACTTCCTGCAAAGAGAAAAGTAGCAACGCTGCAGTGGAGAAAGAGGCTCGCACTGAACAGGTAGGTGACTAGTGTCATCAGGTGAGACGTGCCAGCGTCATGTGAGGACACAGCCTCCCTTCTGCTGTCTTCCTGACCAAACTGCACCTCTGTCTCATCACAGGACAACAGTGGACAAACCCATATTCATAGACATCCTAGAATAAATAAAATAAATGGCTAGAACTCTTCTCAAGTGTTACGGTCCTGGAACACACACAGACTGAGGAGTGCTCACAGACGAGATACAACCAGGATCACCTAACACAAGGCAAGCTGGGAGGGTGTGTTATTTTGTAACAAGTTGGTACATATGAAATTATTTCAAGACTAAAACTTTCAAAAAAATGTTTTGTACTGTACTTGTGCCAGTTCACTCATGCACAGATATACATCTATACATCTAGAAGCGGAATCACTGGGTTAGAGATTATGCATTTTATGTTGGGGTCGATGCTGCCATGGCACCCCACCCCCACAATATACTCGAGTGAGCATCACTTCATACTCCTGCCAAGATGGCGGTGTTGCCTACCCATCAGGTAAAATTTAATTGTACATTTACATTTCTCTATATTTTGAACACAATCGCCGGGCATGGTGGCTTACACTTGTAATCCCAGCACTTGGGAGGCTGAGACAGGAAGACTGTTGTGAGTTCGAGACCAGCCTGGGCTACAAAGTGAGCTCAAGACCAGCCTGAACTGCACAGTGAGACTCTGTCTCAAAAAGAAAAAAAAATGTAATATGAACATAATCAGCACTTTCCCATTATTTATTTGTGTATTTATTTATGTTAAAAGTTCTAGGGATGGAGAACTCAGGGCCGCAGGCATAGTAGGAAAGCACTGTACCACTGAGTTACACCCCTGAGCCCCTACTTTTTTTTTTGAGACAGGTTCTCACACTAAGTAGTGTGGGCTGGCCCTGAACTCACTTATGTAGCCTAGCCTGGCCTTGAACTCACAGTAATCCTCCTGCCTCAGCCTCTGGAGTGCTGGGACTACACTTGTGCACCACTATGCCTGGCTGCTCCTCCACATTTTGCAGGGCATTTTTTTTTTTTTTGGTCCTTTTGAGATAGGATTTCACTACACAGTTCAGGCTGGCCTTAAACTCACTTTGTAGCCCAGACTGGCTTCGAAGCACAGCAGTCCTCCTTCCTCAGGCTCCCAGAGTGCTGGGATTACAGGTGTGTGCCACCACACCCTGCCTGTCCCTCCATTTTAAAGCATCTCCTATTTCATTTTTTGTTCATGATCTGTCGATATCCTCTGATGATTTTTCTACTATATTTTAAATCTTTTTCTTACTGATTTGCAAGTTTTTAAAAATATATTAAGGTCTTTTTTACTTTAAGAATAAACACAAGTCCCCATGTTTTATTTTTCCTAGTAATCTCCCTTATTAGTTATTTTGAATGGATTTAACATGTTGTTTATAATGGAGTAGATATAAGCCCTCATTGTTGGAGAAAGGGAAAAAGAAGCAATCCATACTCCTACCTGGAACTTTAAGACTCTTCCATCATAATTCAAGATTAGATTAATCAATAGCATTATTTATGCAGTTTGGTTTTTTTTTTTTTTGTCTTTTTGAGACAGGGTCTTGCTATGCAGTTCAGGTTGGCCTTGAGTTCACTTTGTAGCCCAGGCTGGTCTTGAACTCACAACAATCCTCCTGCCTCAGCCTCCCAAGTGCTAGGATTACAGGCGTGTACTACCAAGCCTGGCTAATCAATAGCATTATTAAAAGCAGATATGATTTCAAGTTAGCTGAATTTTCTATAGTAACATCAAGGATAAACCAATACGGTTGGGCCTGCTGGCATATGCCTATAATCCCACCACTCGAGAGGCTGAGGCAGGAGGATTTACCCAAGTTCAAGGCCAGCTATGGCTACACAGTGAGTTTGATACCAATCTGAACTATATGGCAAGACCCTGTCTCAAAAAACCAAACCAAACCAAAACAACCCCAATAAAAGCAGGGCATTATGCTGTACACCTATAAATCCAGGCTATATGAGAGGCAAAGGCAGGAGGATAATACATTCAAGCCTAGCCAAGGCAACTTAGTGACTTAGCAAGATCCTGTCTTAAAAAATAAAAAAGAGCTGGAGATATAGCTCAGTGTTAAGGCCATGGGTTCAATCCCCAACAACCACTACCCACAAACACATAAAAAAACAGACCAATAAAAGCAAGGTTTTGTGGTATGCTTATAATGCCAGCTACTTGTAAAGGCTGAGGGCACACAATCACAAGTGAGCTGCCAGCAGGGACAACTTAGTGGGATCCTGTCTCAAAATAAAAAGGGTTAGGGGCGTAGTTCAGTGGCAGAATGATCCTGAGTTCTATCCCTAGTACTGAAAGAAAGATAAACTAATAGTGCAATAAATCTGTCAGAACCAGACAGCACACGCACTATCTTGTCTTCATGTTTCCCCACACCCTAAAGGAAAAGCCACAAACCTCAATGTCAGGCCACAATACCTCATGTTAGAGTATCAAGTGGCTTGGGGTTGTACAAAATGGGATGCACTGAATATCTGAATGTGCTATTACATATACCCATGTACACGCTCACACATGAAGATACTTACATGTGCACACACTCTCTCACCCAGCCAGCACTCATGCTGCTGTGACCACATCCTCCTTTCCAGGGGAACTACTTCAGGGCCCAGCCTAAAGCCTCTGATCCAAAGGCCTCATTGTCCCCATGCCATCCACAGTTATTTCTCCCTATTGTAAATTCACAGCACTTATTTTCTATGATGCTTATTTAAAATTGTGGCTACAGGCTGGCTTGTAGCATTTCTTCCACTCATTTTTTTTTCTTTTTTTTTTGGTCTTTTTGAGACAAGGTCTGGTTATACAGTTCAGGCTGGCCTTGAGCTCACTTTGTAGCCCAGGCTGACCTCGAACTCACAATGATCCCCCTGCCTCAGCCTCCTGAGTGCTGGGATTACAGGCATGCGTCACCACGCTCGGCTCCTTTTCCACTAATTTTTTTTTAAAGTATAATTTATGTCATCAAATTTGGACAAAGACAAACATATTTCTCAGTATTAAAAACTTGGAAAGCAACAACATCCACACTTCACAGTATGCCAGAGCATTTATTAAATAAGTAGTTCTTTTTCGAGGCATGGCATTTTTAATACAACTTCAACAACGTTGTCTCCCAGCTGAAGCACTCAGAAGGCCCACAGAATGGCTACTTGTGCTGTAGGGGCCTTTCAGACTGATTTGCAGGGGTGAAAAATGTGTCTGCCAGGTGAGATGGTACATGCCTGTAACCCAGCACTCAGAAGGCTGTGGCAAGAAGATCACTGAATTGAGGCCAGCCTAAGCGTACAGTGAGTTCAAAGCCAGCCTGAACTACATAGTTCCTGTCTCATAAAAAACAAAAAACATACAAAAAAAGAAAAATGTGGCTGCTCACTGGGGCCAACCAGAAGAAAGATCAGAGCGACAACAGAAGCTGGAAAATGAGGGAAGATTCCTGGAAGAGACAAAGGGAGACTCAAATTCTGCAAAAATAACTCTCCCAAGTACTGACTGATCCCTGAACCATGCCTATGTAGGTAAACTCTAAGCAACTCATCCAGGATGACAGAGTTAAGCTGCTGCCTGTGAGACAGTTTTCCTTTTGACCAACCAGGGTGACAGTCCATTTTAAAACAAAAGCAACTTGTAAGAATAATATGAGTCCAGAGACTTCACCCACAATATCCAAGATGCAATAGTTACCTGACTACACAGACATGGGAAAATAAGCCACCTGTTCAACAGAAGTGTCAATCCATAGACACTGATCTCCAAAATACCCAGGTGTTGGAATCTGCAAAACAAGGATCTTAAAACAGCCACTACAACGTTACAGGACATTAAAGCAAAATACACCAACGATGAAAAGTGGAAAAATACAGATATGCAAACTATAACAGAAGGATGCAAAAGAAATTCTAAATATAAAAGTACATGATGCTGGGTGCAGTGGTGCACTCTGGGAAGCTGAGGCAGGAGGACAGAAGTTCAAACCCAATTTGGGCAACTTCATAAGACCCTGTCTCAAAATAAAAAAGGACTTGGGATGCACTCAGTATGAAGGCTTTGGGTTCAATTTTCAGTACTACCCCCCCACCCCCCCAAAAAGCCGGGCATGGTGGCGCACTCCTGTAATCCCAGCACTTGGGAGGCTGAGGCAGGAGGATCGTTGTGAGTTCAAGGCCACCCTGGGCTACAAAGTGAGCTCAAGGCCAGCCTGAACTGTAGAGTGAGACCCTGTCTCAAAAAAAAAAAAAAAAAAAAAAAAGAAAGAAAGAAAGAAAAGAAAAAGACTAATATTCATAAAGAATACATCCAAAAATACATAAGAATAAGCCATCTATGGGAGGCTGAGGCAGGAGGACCACCATGAGTTTGAGGTCAGCCTAGGTTACATAGTGAGTTTGAGGCCAGTCTGAACTACTTGGCGAGATCCTGTCTCAATAATACAAAACAAAACAAAAAATAAAAGAAAAGGAAAAAAGCCAATTAGTCCAAAGACAACACTTTGGCAAAAGAACAGTATTTTTTTTTTTAATTATAAAGAACAGCATTTAGAGAAAAGGAAACAAATAGCAAACAATTCATGGAAGTAAGACACTCAAGTTTGTTAGTAATCAATTAAAAAGTAATTTAAAATCATAACTGAAACATCTTGTCATAACATCACACTGACAAACATTTAAACAATCTGATAGCACCAAGTATCAGCAAGCAGGTGAGATGCTGAGAACTCTTACACAAGGAACAATGTAAATCAGAACCTACTTTGGAGCTGGACGTGGGGGCCCACACTTGTAATCCCAGCACTTGTGAGGCCTGAGGCAGGAGAATCACTGCAAATTTGAGGCCATGCCAAACTACACAATGAGACCCTGTCTCAAAAACCAAAACCAAAACCAAAAAAACCTACTTTGGAAAAGTCACAATCACTTAGTAAAAATGTAAACAAACGTAGCCATTCCTCTCCAAGTTACATGTCCTAAAGAAATGCGTGCATTTATGAGGCAGGGGGTGTGCACAATCAAGTTCAGACCCTCTGTAACAACAGGACAGAACAACCAGCTGTAGGACATAAAAAAAATGGAACAGTGATAGAACAATAACAGGGATGAATCTTACAAACACTGTTTCACTGAACTGTACACCTATTTTAATGCATATTCTGAGGTAGTCGCTCATAATGAAACAAACATATATAGCTGGGTATGGTGGCACATGCCTGTAATCCCAGCACTTGGGAGGCTCAGGCAGGAGGATAGTTGTGAGTTCGAGATCAGCCTGGGCTACAAAGTGAGCTCAAAGCCAGCCTGAACTGCATGGCGAGACCTAGTCTCAAAAAGATTAAAACGAAAAAAAGAAACGAACATATATAAAATACCATCTAATGCATAATTACTCCCAAAGAGAGGAGATGTGAACCACACTGTGCTCCATCAGAAAAGGTCGGAGTCTGTCAGAACAGTCTGGTTGCTCTGCACACTTAGACTCATCTTTCCAAGACTGGTGAGTATTAGATGGTATTTTATGTATGTTTGTTTCACTATGAGGGATTACCTAAGAAAATGCACCAAGACTAAAGAAGAAATGAAAGTTTATTAATACAATGGAGTAAATAAACCAGTGAAAACTAATGAATAGCAGAGATAAGCTAAAAAACAGCCAGGTGTGGTGTGCACGCCTATAATCCCAGCACTTGGGAGGCTGAGGCAGGAGGATCATTGTGTGAGCTGGAGACCAGCCTAGGCTACAAAGTGAGCTCAAGGCCAGCCTGAACTGCATAGCGAGACTCTGTTTCAAAAAGACAAAAAAAAAAAAGCCAAAAAAAAAGCTAAAAAACAATGTTGATCAAAAGCAAGTCACATGCTGTGGGTGTGGTGGTGCATGTCTGTAATCCCAGCACTCTGGAGGCTGAGGCAGGAGGATCACCATGAACTGAGGCCAGCATGGGCTACATAAGTAAGTTCAAGGTCAGTCTGGACCACACAGTGAGGTCACAGCAGAATATACATAGGTATGATCTCAAGAAACTGTTTATGCAGGGTATACAGCTCAGTAGCACAAGCACCTGCCTGGCAAGCCCAAGGTCCTGAGTTCGATGCCGGTACCAAAAAAAACAAAAACAAACAAACAAAAAAACCTGTTTATATACTAGTATGCATGTACAGTATTTACAAACATGCAGAAATACAAGGAAAAGCAAGAAAAATATAAAATTCAGGCTTGCAGTCAGCTCTGAGCAAGAGAAGGGGATGCACCAGGAAAACTGGAAGGGCTGGTGTCTGAGGGACAGCAGTGAGATCAGGACCAGGAAGGACTGGTGTCTTAGGGACAGCAGTGAGATCAGTTATTCACTGCACCATGTCCTTCCATCTCTTGAATTCTGTAATATGCGTATCAATAACCTACCTACAAAATAGCCTACTTACAAAACTACAGAAGTTAATACTTACAACAACCACTTAAAAATTTTTCCAGAAGCTAGGCACTGTGGCACATGCCTGTAATCCCAGCACTTGGGAGGTTGAGGCAGGACTGCCATGAGTTAGAGCCAGCCTGTGCTACACTTCAAAAGCAACCTGAACTACACAGTGAGACCCCATCTTAAAGAAAAAAAAAAAGGCCGGGCATGGTGGCACATATCTCTCAACACAGTGAGACCCTGTCTCACAAAACAAAACAAGAGCCAGGGATATAAGCCAGTGGCACAGCGCCTGCCTGGCAAGTGCAAGGTCTTGAGTTTGAGTCCCAGTACAAACAAATAAATAAATAAAACAAAACAACCCCCCCAAAAAACCCTGAAACTTTAAAAAATCAGCTTTATCGAGGTAAAATTCATGTACAGTTCATCCAACTAAAGTGTACAAGTCAGTGATCTTCAGTATATTCACAAATTTGTACAACTGTCCCTATTACCATATTCCACATTTACTTTCTCTAAAAAGAAGTCCCATATCCACTAGCATTCATTCCCTTTTCCCCTTCCTGCAGGTCTTGGGAACCATTAATCTACTTTCTGTTTCTATAGATTTGCCTCTTCTCACTGTTATATATAAACAGAACCACAGAACGCACAGGTCTTGTGTTGAACTTCTTTCACTTAACGTATTTATAAGGGCTATCCATGTTGTAGCATGGGGAGATGGTGCTTTGAGGCAAATGGGCCCTTCCATCTCCCTGGAGCTATCTTTGAATAAATCCTTTTTCCTTTTTACCAAAATAAGTGGTGTCCTTTGGGGCCAGGGATACAGCTCAGTGGCACAAGCACTTACCTGGCAAGTGCAAGATCCTGAGTTCAATTCCCAATACCAAAAAAAAGTAGTGTCCTTTGATTTGGTCTGCAGCTATCAAATGAACTTGAGCATATGAACCTAAGTGGCCAGTACCAGAAGGGTAAGTGAGCTGAGCTCACAAGTCATGCAGGAGGATTCCACAGAGAAGCAACATATCTTACACATGAAGCCAATCATATGCTACAATCTAGCAATACTTCCCCAAGAAGAAGAAATGGCTAAGATTTTTGGATTTCTTGTATGGCTGGATTCCGATAACCACATTCATTGTCCTCATCATATAAATCAAGTATATTCTTGGCTAAATTCATTTATCACTTAACCCATCCCATTTACTATCACACCTGCCATACAGGCAACAATGTTAAGGGCATCTGCAACATAGCAAACAAGAACAGGTTCTGTATGTTAGACTCAATAAATGGCCATGAAACATAGTCTTCCTATGGCTAGTACCCATGCAAAACAGGGTATCTTTCCTTCAGGGCAGGTTTTGTTTTGTTGTTTTGCATTTTAAGGCTTCTCCAGGACTTGGCTACCTTTAACTCAGGTTCAACCACTTGGCTACCTTTAACTCAGTTCAACCACTCACAATTCCCTAGAGGACCAGTTGTTTTTTTTTTTTTTTGGTCTTTTTTTTGAGCCAGGGTCTCGATATGCACTTCAGGCTGGCCTTGAGCTCACTTTGTAGCCCAGGCTGGCCTCAAACTCCCAAGGATCCTCCTGCTTCAGCCTCCCTCGTCCTGGGATTACAGGCGTGTGACACTACAGCTGGCTTCTGGTTTTGAAAAGACAAAATATCCAGTGTCAGAAGATACTATGGAATAGGGAGTTTGACTCCCTACTTAGTGGGACTATAAATTTTTTTAGGGGGGGACTATAAATTCATAAAGACATTTGGGCTCCAATTTGGCAAACGTCAGTTAATATTTCAAAAAGGCACAGGTTCTAAAACATCAATTCTAAGATTCTAAAAAAAACCCACACATGTTCATAAGGATTTAAGTACTCATTCTATGCAACACTGTAATAAAATAACCTGAAATAATCTCTATTGTGTCCAATAGAACGTTAAGCAAAAGATAATATATTCACTCGGGTGTAATGGCACAACCTCTGTAATCCCAGCACTTGGGAGACTGAGGCAGAAGGATCACTTCGAGTTCGAGGACACCCTGAGCTACATCAGTGAGTTCAAAGCCAGCCTAAACCACATAGCAAAACACTATCTCAAAAACAAAGCGAAACAAATAAACAAAGTCCATTCGTAACACAGAACTGTGTGCTGCCTATGGAAAGCCGCTGGACGCACGTGTACTGGAAGATGTCAAAGAATGCTTGGAGTGCTACCAAAATATTCGGGAGCACATGCACAGTTGACCTAGACCTTTTTGTGTAAAATTTTGCACATGTATATGTAAGTTTATGGAACTGAGTGTGCTGAGGCCCTGGTTTATCAACCCGTACTCCGTGGCTACTTTCGAGTGGAGAGTGGGCAAGCAAAGATTAAGGTCATTCTCCATGTGTCGTTGTATCTACCACTTTCAGGCTCTGAGAATGATCAGAGTCCACAATCCAGAGTAAACAGGCTCTCTGAGCGCAAACGGCACTGAACTGGAGCGCAGCTGTGGCCAAAGAGCCGGGAAACCGAGCAGCGAACGGCCCAGGAATTACGTAGGAGCACGGAGCACACTATCGCCAATCAGAGGCCCCGACAGGTAGGTGCCCTGCACGCCGCGACCTCCCGACTCCACTCTTCCAAGTGGAGGACGACACCTGTTCGTCCTGGTTCGTCCCGCGACCCACCCGTGTCCGGCGAAGAGAAAGTAGCAGGTAGAAGGCATCTGGGCGGAGGATGCTGCAACGCAGCGCCCCGCTCCGGGCCCGCAGCCGCGCGGGACCCAATGCCCATGCGACACATGCCCTGCCTGTCTAAAGAGCTCGGGGCCTCAGAAGGACGCCGGCCGCCCTCACCTCCCGACGCGGCCACCAGAAACGGAGGTCGCAGTGGAGGCCGAAGCCTGCGGCCCCACAGCAGCAGCGTTCGAAGCTCACGAGCCATGTCTCTGTCCCCCAGCGCCGCGCGCGAGGGTGGCTGGGTAGGGCCGGGAGGACCATTCTCGGGCGCGGCGCGGCGATGTTACGTCACGAGCGCACCGGGCTGCCCGGGGCGCTGCCTGCTGGGGTCGGGTCGGCCCTGAAACTGTCCGGGCTGGGAGTGGGACCTCGGTGACCTTGAATCGGGTTGTCAAGGGCGACGGTCTTTTGCTCCCAGCCTGAGAACCCCCGATCCGCGCCGCCAACTACACCTGGGCGTGTGCATCTTTCGAAATAGGGCCATGTTGATACATTCGTGGGGTGGGGGCGCGAAGAAGCAGTTACCTTTTCTGTGGCGTTTGAGTCCCAGGCACCGGCCTAGGCTGCTGGAAAACTTCTAAACGTAGGAGGCCAAAAGCTAAGGCGAATGACAAAAAAGAATCTACGTTTGACCTGTCTATACCAAAACGTGAATTCAGTAACCAACACCACCAGCAGAACTGGGCCTTGTGTTTATTAGGCGCCTCTTCTTTTTGGAAGTTAAGAGTCTGGTTGGAGATCCAGACCGTAACTCCTGTCTCCTAACATTTGGTCCTAACCCTCCAGGCACGTCTCACCATGGCCTGAGCCACAGAGCAGGACCCCGCTGGCTCTATTTAGACGGGTTCTCAGATGCTTCTGAGGCACAGTGAAGATTTGTGGCCATGACCGTTTTAAATGATTGTACAAAAATAAAGTTCCTTGAGGACTAACGCTGTAGCTTGGTGGTAGAGCACTAGCCTAGCATGCTGCAAGGCCCTGGTGTTCAATACATCACAAAACAAACGAATTTACTTGAGATTGTAAGGAGATGCTGCAAAGAGAAAGATCCAAGATAGTGCCCCCCACCGGCGGAGCGGGGGGGGGGTGGTGAGCCCGGACAGAGTTGGTTTGTTGGGAGAGGGTGTGTCCAGGAATGCTTGCAGTTTACAGGTGACAAGGATGATCCACGAGTTCCTGACTTAAATTAACAGAGAGGAAATGTAAAGGAGTACGCAGATTTAGATGGAAGAGCAGTCTTCTGGACGACTGTGGAAGGCTCCTGTTTGGTCCTGGCTTCACTGTGATCACCCCTCCGTCAGACACAGCCAGACCTCATTACCCTCTTCACTCAGCATCCCCCAAGGGTATCCCCTGAACTTTTTTTTTTTTTGGTCTTTTTTTTTGAGACAGGGTCTTGCTATGCAGTTCAGGCTGGACTTGAGCTCACTTTGTAGCCCAGGCTGGTCTCGAACTCACAACAATCCTCCTGCCTCAGCCTCCCAAGTGCTGGAATTACAGGCGTGTGCCACCAGGGCTAGCTCCCCTGAATTCTTACAGTCAATTCCAAACACTGTCTCAAGCCCACAGGCCCCACACCACCACTGGACCTGGGTTCCCTACCAGGATATCCCACAGCCATTTCCCAAGGAATTGAGAGGTGTCCATCTTCTATTTCATTCACTCAGGAAATCATCTATTAGAGCTGGGGCACTGTATATCTGGCTTGTAGAGCCTTTTCAGGACAGGGAAACGATATTTGGCAAAGGGAAAATCTGAGCTACTATTAAGGATGAGGGTGTGAAGAGGCAGGCTCTACAGAGGAGAAACTTCTCAGGTTTCTGACTACCTTGGGCCCTCCTGTAGTTTCTGGTTTGAGGTTTCTGGAAACCTCCTGGTTTCCTTGCTCAGGAAACCAAAAATTTGGAACTCAAGCATCTCTCAAGGGTTGGGGACAGTGAGAAATGCCTCCCAGAAATCTGAAGGCCAGCTGCAGTCTAGTCCCTGTGGTTCAGTCCTTCCTGATGACACTAATCCGGGCTGCCTAAAATCTGACAAATGCCTCTTGCTTGACATATGACCCTTCCCTGGCCCTATTCAATCTCCAAGCATGGAGAGCATGGCAACAGTGTTACTGCCTAGTCCCCAAGTACTCTTTGCTTTCCCATCCCCACTCTAAAAAGGAGCACAACAATCCTCCTCTTCTCAGTGACCCACGCCTATGCCAAGGTCAGACGAGTCCCGGGCAGGGTCAGAGGTGACAATGGAGGAATCCTGGCAGCAGGAAGCTTGGCTGGTGGGAAACAGAGAAAGGACCCACAGCAGCAATGTAGGAACACATTTCTCAGCTAGCTTCACAGACTCTGCACAGGCTCCTAAGGGCCTGTGGATGTGGCTTCTCACTCTAGCTTGGAACATCTCATAAACATCCACTACCAGCCAGGCATGGTGGTGTACCCCTGCCTGTAATCCCAACACACTGGGTGGCTGAGGCAGGAGGATTGCAAATTTGAGCCCAGCCTGGGTAACTTAGGGAAGACTGTCTCAAAATTTAAAAAGGGCTGGAGATGCAGTCAGACAGGGTCTATGTCTATGTCATCCAGGCTGGCCTCAAACTCATGGTGATCCTCCTGCCTCAGTCTCCCAAGTGCTGGGATTATAGGTGTGTGCCACTACACCCAGCTCCCATACACATTTTAAAAAGTAGTTTGCAAGAGGTTCCTTGCTGTGTACCCAGGGTCCTGGCATGCAAGATCAGAAACTTTAAAGCCCATAGCAGTTTCAACCTTCTTGCAGGCACCGGGCAGAGGGCAGACTAGGGCCACTACACTAGAAGCTTGATGCTATGGATACCAAGTTGACAAACATTAGACTAACATTCTTTTTTCTCCAATGCCAGTTAATCAACAGTGGGCCAAAGAGGCATGCTGATTCCAAAGCCTATGTAAAGGGCAGGCCTCATGGCACAACGGTAGCGCATCTGACTCCAGAGCCTACTCAAGGACTGTTACTGCTTACTGTCTATGTAGTTAGTGCCTGAGCAATTTCCTTGCATGGTGATTCTACTTCCCCAGGTCCTCCCAGTAGAGGCTCAGAGTGCACCTGTGGGATAAGGAGGTGAAGCGGGACTGCAGGGGTTCTAAAAGTTGAAACAAAGGGCTCTTCTTGGAGCCCAGAGCAAGAGCAGGGCTCCAGCCAGGCATCCCACTGTGCTCTCTCCTTGCTCAGTGAACCTCCCAAGTCACTTACCTGTTTTCCTCATTCACAAGGTAAATGAGTGAAACCCATTTATTTTTGGTACTGGAAATTGAACTCAGGACCTTGAGCTTGCCAGGCAGGTGCTGTGCTGCTGGGCTATATCCCTGGCCTTGTGAAATCCATTTAAATAGCATTTGTTACACATTGTAATGCTTTCCCCATCTCTTTTCACTGTATTATCCACACGAGGAAAGTAGAATTTGGGGAGTTCCCTTAAGGTTAAGGCCAAGGCCCTTCTTTAGGGCCCCTTGCTGAGGCAATGCTCTCAGGGGATTGCTCCTCAGTCCCTTCAACCTCACACAGGCCTCAGGCCCACATTTCCTGTAGTCTAAATTCTCCAGTCTTTCCTGTCCTAATTCCTAGATAAATACCTGCAATACCAGGGCTTTGGGCAGGCTAGGGAAGTACTCTACCACTGAGCTGCACGCCACCCCACTAGAGCATTTAAGGTGTTTTACAGCCATCACTTCCCTTTGAAATTTGTTTAGTGAATTAATAGTGACACAGCTGAGTCCTAGTAAATCCTCTGTAAAAAGATAGGAGCTGATGCACATCTATAATCTCATCTATTCATGAGGCAAGGGCAGGCTTGCAAGCTCCAGGCCAGCCAGGGGCAATTGAGGTTCTATCTTAAAATTAAAAAAATTTAAAACCAGGTGTGGTGGCACACACCTTGTAATCCCAGCAGCCTGGCAGGCTGATGCAGAACTGCAAGCTTGAACCTAGCTTGGGCAATTTAGTGAGACCCTGTCTCAAAATTTCCTAAAAGGCCTGAAGATATAACTCACTATGAAGGCCCCAGCCTCAATCTTTTTTTTCTTTCCTGTCTTTTTGAGACAGGGTCTTGCTATGCAGTTCAGGCTGGCCTTGAGCTCACTTTGTAGCCCAGGCTGGTCTTGAACTCACAACAATCCTCCTGCCTCAGCCTCCCAAGTGCAGGAATTACAGGCATGTGCCACCACGTCAGGCCTTCAATCTCCATTACTGAAAAGAAACTGAAAATTTAAAAAGAAGGCAGATGTACCTCAGTGGTAGTGCTTGCCTAGCATCTGTTAGGCCCTGGGTTCAATCATCAGTACTCATAAAAAAAAATAAATATATATGAATAGCTGGGATAATTGTACTGCTGATGTCTGATGGTATATTGAAAGGAACAGTTAATGCTTAAAATTTTAATATCCTGACCAATTTTGCATGCTTATATCTAGTAATCTGAGCAACTGAAGACAATATGCAATGGAACAACCATTGGTGAATTCCTACCATCTTGTCTAGTGAAACTCTGTATTATGTTTTATCTAATAATTTTTTTAAAATTCTCTTTAATGGTTGGGACAATCTTTCATTCTTACATTTGGTAATCTAAGCAACATAGTTGAAGACAACAATATGCAATATAACAACCACTGTTAATTCCTATCACTTTGTTTTGAAACCCTGTATCACATTTAATGTTCTTGCTTTGTTTGTGACATTGGTATGCTATTTTTTTTTTCCTTTACTACTCTCTTTAAAATGGAAAAAATAAAAAATAAAAAGAAATGAAGATCTGAGCCAGACATAGTGGTGTACACATGTAGTCTGGGAGTCTGAGGTGGGAGTTTTGTTTTTTGTCTTTTTGAGACAGGGTCTTGCTACGCAATTCAGGCTGAACTTGAGTTTATTTTGTAACCCAGGCTGGTCTCGAACTTGCAACGATCCTCCTGCCTCAGCCTCCCGAGGGAGGATTTGTTTTTCTGAGACAGGGTCTATGGTCAGGTTTCTAAGATAGGTCTACGTAGTGAACTCTATGGCTGGCCTTGAATTTGGGGCAATCCTTCTGTCTCAGCCTCCCAAGTGTTGGAATTACAGGCATGAGCCACTACGATGGGTTAGATTTCTCGATTCTTGAGCCCAAAAGTTTGGACCAGAAAGACCCCAACCCCTTAAATTTTTAATAAAACTGAATTATTTTCTCATTATTATACACAATTACTATAAAATTATACACAACTAGTGAATATGAAATTAACACATAA